TTAATGTAGTACCTCAATTTCCTAAATATTACTTATTTGTAAGGTCCCTACTAACTGGTTTCCATTAAAAAAGATATTAACTAAATTTAATTAATTTCTCCAAGTTACACTTCTAATTATTCTTAAAAAAGATATTTTTTTTCTCCTTAATCTATTAAGCAATTATGAACGAGCATAATTTTAATGTTGGCCTTTCTAAACTATAATTGAATGAATGAATGAAACAAAAAAGTTATTGTTGATCCATCTGTAACACATAGGTACTTGTAACTTGAACTGAATTGAAAAACTTTATTGTAATGTAGTAAAAGAAAACGTTAGTTTACATGTTACTACACTACTTGTGTGTATGTTTTATTGTTTATTTATACATAATTAATACTGGCTATACTTTAATCATGGTTTATTAATTAATTCAACTCTCAGTTTTATCCCACTGTGCGTACTCCCCGGCTGGAGTGCGAGCCGTCTGCCGAGTCAGCAACTAACGCGATCGATACTCATCTCTGTACTACGGCTTTTTGTTCTGGCAAATTATAAGCTTTTAGGAGACATCATATTATTTAAAATTTTGCCATACAACATAATGATGACTTTACACATAGACTATATTTGTTTAAAGTTATTAAAGCGTAATTGCTAGTTTTTAAGAGGACATGTATATTAATTTATTATAGATACATAATTGGTGTCACAAAATTAAACTATATACCTACCATATTTAAAAAAAATAAAACAATGATATAATTATTAAGACAAGTATTCTCGCAGTCTGGATAATTCCAGAAACTTCGCTCATATATCTACTAATTGTAATATCTTTGTAATATAAATATACAATAATGAATTGACAATTAAACATAATAATTTTAGTATTTAATCTACATATATAACAGATTAGATCTAAATCAAAAAGGAGTAGGTAATTGACATCAATAGCTAACTGGTATACCAATGCAAATTATTAATCTAGATACATACGGTATATCTTTCCAAATTACTATGTGGTGAAATCTATTTTATACGTATTATACATGATACATCTACTGTTGAAAAGGAATATGAAATCGTTAATTCCAAAGTCTCAATATATTCCTTAAAATTCAGTAATCATAAATTTACAAAGAACCATTTTTTTTTAATATTACTATAACATTAAAATTTAAACTACGATTCAGTAATATTTTTGAAAAAGGAAACTTTACACTCAGTTTAGCAGAAACTAAGTTTTTATTTTCCAAGTAAATTATTTACCATAGCAATTGTAATAATTTAACCTATTTTATTTTATTTCCACCTTTCATTTTAAAGAATGAAACTGACTTTGTCTCGTATATACTTTCTTTTAAGGCTATATCATACCGACTCTTAAAGTGATAATGTGGCTACTTTTTTCGATAAATAAAACTAACATTTTTCGGATATAATACTATGCGTGCTTTATTTTTGTAAAGAAACGACATACTCTCGATGTTTCGAATACTTTTCAGCAGTCGTTTTAGTTTATTGCAAAATATTATTATTAACAGTTTTTTTTTTATAAAAATAAACCACTCGTAGTATATTCGAAAAATATTTGTTGCATTTAAACGAATACTCGCATATGTCTTAGATCTCATTACTTTTTCGTTCTTTTTTAAGAGAATCAGAAATAGACAATTTCTCTCCTCTCTTGCTTTATCTTCTATTAATTTGAATCTATTAATCTTAATTCTCTATTTCTTTTAATTTTGTTAGGAGAATTGATGTAGTCAGTAATCGTTTAAATAATTCTATAAGGTTATAAGTAAAAACATTGTTCAATTAGTTTTTTTGCTTGTCAGCTGTCTCGACACATTTAAACAAGAATAAAAAGCAATATTAAAATTTGATAAGGTTAAAAAATGGTAAATACTTAATCATAAGGTAACGTGTGTATTAAGTACTAAATTGTGCTTTTCAGGTCAAAAGAAAAATGAATAGAAAAGTATAATTAGTCGGGTAAACGTGAAGCATATCAATAAATGTAGATAAGATACAAATTTATATTGACACAATTGTTGTATAACCTTGAGATATATACTTATATTGAATTGTATTTAATTTATCTATCAATTCATCTAATTAATTATTATGTTAAATATATATGGCATTATATGACTAAATCTTTGCCGTACGCCACAGATAAAAAATAAAAAAGTTGACAGTCTTCAAAATGTCAAAATACTGTGATGGATTTGATTGTTTGTTTGTGGAAAACTCGTTAGAAAGTGTTAATATGTCATTTAATATAAAGTAATAAATATTTTTTAATCAAAAGCAATATTGTTCTCATTAAATTATAAGTTTTCCGATTCACCGTGGCAATATCCATTTTTAATACTGGTTAGCCTTGAAGTAAATGTCATTTAAATGAGTCTTGTTTATTTAACATTTTAGTGGTATTAGTCGTAATTTCATGATTATATGGCTCTGATGTTCGACTTATGTTTTGCGACAAATTGGAAGAGGCATGTTTTATCCACGCATTCGGGAGAAAGGTGCAAGTTTAGTTATACTCGGATGGACTTGCCTGGCGGTGCTGTGCGCTGCAACCACCGCGCCTTGCGACAAAACTCGTAGAGTGTTCACCGAGCCGAGTGGAATTATTACCGATGGACCCAGCAACTCCAATTATACACAAGTTGGTTATATAAAATTTGTAATGATATCAATACTCATTACTTGCAAACTACATAACAGCCTGTTTTAGGATTCACACTGTGAGTGGCTCATCAAGGCATCTAATAAGTCACAATACATCACACTAAGTTTTCTTCGGATGGGCACAGAATGCTCATATGACTATGTATTTGTTTATGATGGAGATTCATTTGATGCCCCATTACTGGGTAGCTTCAGTGGGAAGACAGAGCCTCAAAATGTTACTGCCTCAAGTGGATTTGTAAGTCGCAAGATTCTCTTCCATGACTTTCTAGCGAATTAGTTAACATATAACTAATTTTAATTCCAGATGTTAATACTTTTATATAGTGATACCAATTACGTATTGGATGGATTTAGAGCAACATATGCCATACATAACTGTCCTAATAATTGTACGGGCCGCGGATTATGTGTTACAAACAAGTGTTTCTGTGTCGGTACATGGGGTGGACCCGACTGCAGCGTCGAACTCTGCCCTAATAGCTGTTCAGGAAATGGACAATGCAAAGGAGACAAATGTATATGCAAGAAAGGGTAAGATAAGTTTTAATATTTATTTTTTCCTACCTCTATCTACCTTGAATTTTAATGTATGTTTTAAAAATTTAATGAACCATGAACATATTGTTTGAGGACATCAATTATACTGTAATACAATCATCTATTATGTGGCAAAACATCCAATTCTATTATATTAACCTTGCAGAAATACATAAAATACTGTTAACCTCAATTTATATTTTGTTGTTTCATAGTTTATACATATGGAAATGTAATATTAATTACATCTCTGCATTTACTGGTCTTTTAAAAGAATTATTTTGTAGGTTTTCTGGGGAATCATGTTCGCTTAAAAGTAATGATAAAGATGGCAATAGTTGGCATTGGCTTTCCCATACTGAAAGTGGTATGACGAAAAGAGCAGCGCACTCAGCGGTATATGTCAGTCAGATGGACGCCTTATATGTCTTTGGAGGATATGATCTGAATAGAGTACTGGGAATGTTGGAGGTTTACAAGTAAGTATTAAGATCACTTTATCATTGGTTTGGTTTTTACTAATAAAATACTTATATATATAAAAAGTGACAATTCATTGAAGATCCATTCGTTTTCTGTGACTCAAATGGTATAAAGAACAGTTCAATTCTTTCATAATTATAATGTTTATTGTGAAACTCCATCAGTAATCAGTTATAGTGTTTTTTAGTCTTGACCTTGAATGGGTATATCAATCAAATAAATATTGTGACAGAAAATTAAAATAGCAATTTACAGTTAAGAAAGCCATAAATAAATTTTAATGTTTCATGGTGATTATGATTGTTATAAGTGTTTTTGTTTACAAAGTCAGTGCAATCTCACATATATTATTAAGAATTAGTATTTGATTATAATATAAGTTATAATCTTAGTTGTATAGAAAATGAAGTATGCAATTTTTTTCTTTAGATTTTCTACTAGTCAATGGTATGATGAAAATGGTAAAATCCTACGTCGTTATCCCACCAATGAAGAAATTGATAAATCATTACTGACATTGTTCACCAAGGTGAGTGCTGTACTATTATAGCAATTTAAATAAAACATTTTGTAATCTATCAACCCATATTGTAATGCAATCTGCGGATGTAACTAGATTTTACATTTATTCAATCTGATAGTGAATTTGAATAATGAGTATTGTACATTGTTTGTAATTGCAGGGAAATATTGATGGTAGCTGGCAGATAGGAAATCGGAGTTCATTATTTAATTTGCTTCTAACATCATTCACACACCATGATAAGACAACACTACCTCTTATGTATTCCCACCCATCTACACCATATTCTGAGAGTTATCTGCAATTTACTGATCGACCTGAATTTTTGAGTGCCAATTCTAAATCTAACAATACAAAACCTGAGCCGAGATATGGTCATTCAGCATGTGCTTTTAACAATGGCTTTATATTATATGGTGGGAAATTGTCTGATGGTAGTCTATCTTCTGAATTGTGGTACTATGATGCAACGACAAATATTTGGACCCTAAGAGCTCCGAATGCTACATTCACTCCACCGGGATTGACTCGGCATACATTGACTGCTGTTAAAGATGAATTGTATTTATTTGGTGGAAGCACTGTTGATGGAGAATTTTCTTCTAGGTATAATTTTTTTTATTAATAAATAGTCATTAAAATTTTGAGTCATAACTTATATTTTTTGTTATAATTAAAAAGCAGTTAAAACATGTTATGTCATAGATTATAGTTATATTTTTTTTCTCAGCTTTTATAAGATTAAATTAGGCGAAGTAACAAGTGAGACATGGGAAAAGGTTCAAGTTAGAGGTGGCAAAGAATTAGATGTACGAGTTGTGGCTCACACATCGGTGTACCATAGACAGTCAAACTCAATTTTAGTTTATGGAGGGGTCGTTGCGAGTGTTGCCAGGTAACTAATAAAGAAAATATAGTAATTAAAATTGAATAATTAGCATGGTATGATTATGTCATTTATGATATATTTTTGTAGGTTTTCTAAACTATCAGATCGTATGTTTGCATTCGATTTGGACTACAAACACTGGAGTGAAATCCACTACCCTCGGGCTCATTTACGTGACACTTACGTTCCACGTGAGAGAGCATTTCACACCGCAACCATTATCGGTGAATAATTTTATCTTTATTACGTCAAACAATAAATATGTTACGGTATTATGGATACAACTGTAGAAAAATTTACCATGACATAAACTTAGAAATTAAAATTCTAGAAATAGTTTCGACAAAAATAAATATTATCTGTTATCCAATTTGAAAAGAGGAAGTTATGTATTATTATTTTTATACATTTATTTGAATGTCTTTGATTTTGTCAATAACTGCTAATCCGGTTTGGTTGAGACTTGTTGTTTTAAAGTATATTTGACAAGTATTTTTCTATCAAAATTTTTAATAAGTATTTAAAATTTTAATCACTTTCTCTCCCAGGTAACTATTTGGTGATATTCGGCGGTTATTCCCATCGCCATAATAGAGAGGAAATCTGCTATGATGGGCAAATGTATTTATATCACCTGGGTTGCCATTCCTGGATACCGTTGGACGTTTTGGGGAAGAATCGAAAGTTTTATCCTAAGAAACAGGGTGTTTTCGCTCATGCGGCAGCTTTGAAGCCACCATCCACGTTACTCATAGCCGGCGGATATCATGGCAATGTCAATGGTAAGTATTGTATATTAATGTGTTCTCTACGACGCCAGACTACATTATTAGACCGGTAACGATACGGTCAAGGTCATAGCTAGTCCTTTTACGAGCGCGTTATTATGTTATTTTATTCCGTTAGTAGTTTGATATTTTTTTAACGCTTATCACATACTAGCTTTTGCCGCGACTCCGTCCGCGTGGAATAGTGACTTCCGCCAGATTTTTGGTTCTTCCCACATAGTTCCCGTTCTTACGGGGTTTTCGGAATGGTCGAGTTCCCGTAGAATTTTCAGGATAAAACCTGTTTTTTTTATTCGCAATGAAGTACTCTTAACCAACAACATATTTATTTGTTTATTTGAATAAAGATTAATATCATTATGTTGATACAACTTAAAGAAATTATTTCGACCAAATTAGGTACCATAAAAACGGTTTTTATGAGTTAATCTTAAAAGATAGACATATACTGTCGCGGACTGTTTTTTAGATCGTTAAAAGAGCTATTATTCTTTAATACATATTTTTTGTGTATCTTGAGCCGTATTCACGGCGCACGCAACGGAAGGCTTCAAAGATGAAATAATTTCTCCCGTTTTTTACACATTTACCACTATATCTTTGCTCCTATTGGTCGTAGCGTGATGTTATATAGCCCACAGACTATCCAACACAACAAGAATTATTCAATTCGAACCAGTACTTTCGGAGATTAGCGCTTTCAAACAAACAAACAAACTCTTCAGCTTTATAATATTAGTATAGATTTAGTAAGAGGAAAGTATTAAGAAAAATTTATGAAGATAGAAATTGTGTATGTTACTTAACACGCTTTTAGTAAGATTTCTATACTATTACTATATTTTCTTTTACCAATACATTAACACTTTAACAATGACTAATTATTATTATTTCATTGTCAAGTTTCTTACATACAAGGCTCAGTTAAGTTTATGCTAAACAACTATGTAAATACTTAATAATTATTCTCAAACACGTAGACATACATTTTGCGTTTCAATGTAGAGAAACCTTATACATTTATCTGTTATTCTTTTTACACTATACGCTACTGCTTTTGTTAAACAATTTTACTTCACCTTCCTAATAATTAAGGAAGATTATATGTACTTAGATTCTTGATTTTTTCTATTCATATTGAAATATCAATTAGAATTTAGCCTTAAATAAAAAAAATATAAGGTTAAGTATTGTTTCAATGTATAGTCTAGAACACGGAAAGAGGAAAAGAAAAAAATTGATAATTAAAAAAACAACAATTGCTCAAGGTTGTTCTGCAGAGACTTAGATGTTGCGCTAGCGCTAAGTACTTGTTTAAATAAAATCACAGGTGGCGTATTTTTATATCATACATTGCTATCTTGATTGGATTTTGGAATGATGATAGTGAAATATAAATCGTTACGCGAAATATTGATCTGTTAAATATATTAATTTATTAAATACCCAATCCTATTATAAAAGGAAGGAAAATAAGATGTGATATATTTTGTATTAAGTTTGTAAAATTGATTTTTTTTTTGTCTTCAAAGCTGCTTTAAACTGCAAAAAGCATAGATATAGTTAAATATTTCCTACGTAAGTTACAAATATTTTTTAAATACAAATGAAAATTTCAGATAGTGTATAACAGTAATTCATAAGTAAATTTAAATATTGCTTTGTGTTGGTTTTTGTAAAAGAAGGCCTTTTCTCTACAAGTAATTAAACTTTTAGCATTTTTAACTATGTCACAGTTCTCATTACTAATTTTTAAAAGAAACTACTACATTTTTTTAGATATAGACGTCTCGTCTGCCCGTTATCACGGTTGCTGAAAAGTAACCGAAACGTCGAGAGTATGTAGTTTTAAAATAATAAAATACGCATATCAATCCAAATAATATTAGTTTCATTTAAATGAATACCCGCGAAAGTCTCAGGTCTCATTAATTTTTAAAACTTGAAGTATGAACGAATTTTATTTGCACAATTTTTGTTGTCATAGCTTGAAAGTTTAGTTCGTCTAAATTGACGTAGGCAATAAATCTAATAACAAAATACTACGAAAAAGAAATAATTTGTAGACGGTATATACATTAAGATGTGTTATTTGAAGTTCGGTTCTAAGTACCTCATAAAGTAGCGACAAGTGAAAATTTTAGACGTATTGATTGTGTACTACTTTTTTATTGTACGCCATAAATTTTTACTATGTTGGTATACTGCATAGTATACTACATATACTTTATATACTACTTCAGTATCACCTTACCAAAGGGATAAAGAAATACTGCTACATTGTTTGCTACTATCTACAGACATATACCTTCAAATTTACTGTCATGACGTTTATATTTCTTTAAGGTAAATTAAATAACTTATGATCGTTGTTTAGGCGATTTGTTAGCGTACGTGGTGCCGAGTTGGCATGCTGGTATAAGCGGGAAGGATCCCGAGACAGCGTGTCCCAGACACCGAACACAGCCCGAGTGTCTCGCTGATCCAGAATGTGGCTGGTGCTCCGCTGACGAGGTATGCCGGTAATAAGTATAGACTCTAAAAGGATATTTGCTATTGGTATGCAAATTTTCCTTTACTCTACTATCCAGGATTTTTGTCAAAATGTTTTTTATTATGCATTTGTTTAAGGTTCACGATACAAAAAGTTAACAGATTGAAAAATAAAACTAATGACTTTTAAAGTGTTTTTAGTCAAATTTAAAATTACTTTTTACTTTAGTTCTTGATTTATTTTTGTAATGCTATATACATAATCATAATTTTTACTAAACAGATTTGTTACGGAAGAACTATAGGATCGAACTGTACAACGAATTTGCAATCCATAAGATGTTTGGGAATCTGCCCGGCTCTCGGCGATTGTCACTCTTGTCTTATACACGGACCGCCGCTGGGAAAGAACAGCTCTAGAACTCCATTGACGTCCGTCAGCATGCAACTTGGTATATATCAGTGTAGTTGGTGTGTTCAAAACGCAAGATGTCACCACAAGGATGGTTCGTATACCAAATATTATTATTAATTAATATTAATTATTGTTTTTTCTATTATGTTATGTATATTGGTTTTATTATTACAGATAGTTACGGTGTATGTGGTGAAGACACGCCCTCTGAGAACCCAGGTTGGTGGGGCACCGTCGGCACTGAGGTGGTGACGCCAGAGGAATGTAAAATATTAGATAAACGTCCCGGTCTTACTTTCCTGAGGTACCAACAACCGGCTGATCTCAACCACCCAGATGGCGTTTCCGTTGTGAATGCGACCACCGTTGACTGGGGTACCGGTGGAGGCAGCAATCACATCTTCAGCGGTCCCAGCGAGGCGATACTTAGAGGCTGGCTCCATATTCCCCAGTACTGGAATGGGACTGGCGAGACTCTGAACATTTGTGCTGGCTATTCAAATCTTACGCTCAGTCTTGGTGACGGTGAAGCAGTGGCCAATCTCTCAGCTGCACCGTCAGCCTGTGCCGGCGTATCGTGGCCTTCCTTACAACCCGGCCGCCTCGCCGTCCACATGCACGCTAACGACTCATTACACACCGGACTCTACCCCTCACATCATCATGCAAAGATGGAATTGTTGCACAATAAGTCACAGGAGACTGCTAAGGTATATAATTTATATTACTTACTGTAGTTTAATATTATAAATCATAAATTTTAAATATTTTTTTCTATTCAGGTGTTCACATTTGAATTCCTAGAGCCCTACTCCAACGGCCAGTGTTCGAACTACGATAATTGTCTACTGTGCCTGTCGGATGCGGCGTGTGGTTGGTGCGAGATAACAAACCGTTGTGAGGAACGCAATATAGATGAAAAATTGACGTGTGCGGCCGAAGGAGAATGGAGATATCTCACCTTACAACCGGCTGCGTGTCCCAATTGTTCGAACTATATCAGTTGTGAGCGATGCGTGTCCGGAAACTACTGTGAGTGGTGGGCGGATGAGGCAAGGTGTGCACGGCGCGGTCGTGCTAGTGGGGCGGTGGTAGACGCTAGTGAATGTCCCGCACCGTGTCGAATGCGTCTTGACTGCGAGCACTGTCTCGACGAGCGTGGCCGTTGTGTTTGGTGTGAAGCCACGCGCCAGTGCTTCAGCTTCAGCGTCTACACAAGCGAATATCAGTTTGGATTGTGTCGGGAATGGCTTGATCGCGCATCGACTACAGCGGACGAACCCACCAAAAAGTCCAGCCAATGTAAGTCATGTCAAGCCAACACGCAGTGTTCGACGTGCTTACGGAGCATGGGCTGTGGTTGGTGCCATTCTTATGAAAATCCGATAAATGGAATGTGCACGGAAGGTGATTTCACACGGTCGCATGTAGATTGCGCCTCACTGTTAAATGTAACATCAAATGACGCTGGTTGGGCGTACGCTCAATGTCCAGATGTTGACGAATGTGGGCTTGGCCTCCATGATTGTCATGAGCATGCTGTGTGCAATAATACGCATGGTTCGTACACGTGCAAATGCAAGCAAGGATACATAGGTGACGGCAAGAAAAGTTGCATACGAACTTGTTACAACACTTGTATACACGGGTACTGCTTGGGCGCTCCTCAATATATGTGTAGGTGTGACTTGGGTTGGACGGGCGCGGACTGTTCTATTAATTGCGGGTGCCATAATCACTCAACTTGTAAAACGGGCGTGGGCAGGTGTGACGAATGCCAGGATTGGACTGAGGGTGAATTTTGCGAATCCTGTAAACCAGGTAGCCATGGCAACGCAACCACCGGTCAAGGGTGTCGTCGATGTGACTGTAATGGACATGGAGACGAAAGTCGAGGTGTTTGCGATGTGGGTACTGGGGAATGTATTTGTAAAGATAACACAGAAGGACAAAATTGTGAACGCTGTAAACCAAAATTTTATGGAGATCCACGACACGGTGGCAGGTGCTATTATCAATGTGAGCCAAGAGGAATGTTGAATGCTTCAGAAACAGAGGGAATTGGTTCTTTTAAAATTGATCCAGATATTAACAGCATAGGACCTTCTAAAGAGTGTCTGTGGATTATAACGGCTGAAGATATTAAAGATGCCATTATACAATTCACTGTTAATTCATCTACTTTTAATGTGCCCTGTGATCAGAATGCCGTATATGTATACGATGGGTTGGGCGGAGTATCTGATTTGACCAACAATCCTCAAAGCCAACTATTAGGTGTATTTTGTAATGGCGCGTCCTCGGGTGTTGTAGAAGCTCGTAGTGGAAATTTAACAGTTCATTCATTATAAACAGAGCCAGCCCGATCAAGGTTTTGAAGGGGTGTACGAAATTTTAGCTTGCGATGGACATTGTTCCTGGCCTAAAGTATGTAAAAATAGACACTGTGTATGCAGAGATGGTTTTGGAGGTTTCGAATGTGATGTGGAAATTTGTCGTAATAACTGTAGTATGCACCTAAAAGGTGGTGTATGTGACACCAGCTATGGAAGATGCTTATGCAATGAAGGTTTCGGTGGTGACGACTGCTCTTTAAAATTGGACAAAAGCCAACTCGTATTTACAGAACTATTTAATTCTGATTTTCTTTCCGATGGTTTGGATCACTTAAGAAAAACTTTGCCAAGGTTTGGACATAGTTTAGTAGCAGATAGACGAGGTTTATGGATGTTTGGAGGTTATTCACTTTCTCATGGACCGTTAAATGACATTAGATTTTATGACACTAAAAACAATACTTGGATGCAAGTAACGGTTGACGCTACTCCCGATCCTAAGATGCCGGAAGGAAGATATTTCCATGCAGCTGAAATTTATCATTCAAAGCAAAATATTTACATTTATGGAGGATTAAGTTTGCAAGAAAAAAGTGGACAAAATAAGACATTAAGAGATTTTTGGCAGTTTAGCTTAAAAGAACAGAGATGGAGTCAGATCAAGAGTAAAGACGAACATCCTCCTCCTCTTGCGGGACACACGTTGACCTTACAAAAATATCAAGACTACGAGAGTCTCGTTCTTATAGGGGGTTTCTCGTTAAAAGACGGATTCATGACAGATTTGTGGGAGTTTGATTTAGACCATGACAAATGGGTTAAATTGACTTGCGGTGGCTCTATGCCTGTTGGACTTATTGGTCACAGCACGGTGTATCATGCACCTTCTCAAAGTCTGTACGTTTTTGGAGGAATATTGTATATTTATAATGGTACTATAATATCGAACAAACTGTTCTCATTTCACTATCCAACTAAAACTTGGAGCGAATTGCCTGTGTTCCCAAGTCTCAATAATATGCATGATAATTTACCACGTGCTACATTTTTACATTCAGCAGTAACGACAAATGATTACATGATCGTATTTGGAGGTCGAACTGTACCTGATAAGAGATCTAATTCACTTTTAGCCTACGTTTATAGCTGTAATCAGTGGGTGAAATTATCGAAAGGTAATTTTTTATACGTTGTTTATATTCTTGATAAGTAAAACTGTTATATTAATTTCAAAATCTTTTCAGGCGCCAGTGTGTTAGATCATCCGCCACCAAGAACAATAGCCCATGCTATGGCAATTGATATGGAATCTGAGAACGACTGGAACATTTATATAGTCGGCGGCTGGACGGGCAGCGCAAACTGTCAGGTTACGCGAATCACTCTACCGGACGATTTATGCTCACTCTGGAGTTCAAGTAAAATAGAATGCAGAAGCCACATGGGCTGCAGTTTTTGTAGTACAGGAGATTACACGAAATGCTACTCAGTTGACAAACCCGGTTGTGAAGGAAGCGATAGGATCTCAACTAATGCGGGTGCAGCTTGTGACGCTGATCTAGTAGCGAGGCGGCCCTGTGAGAACTTTACATCGTGCACGTCATGTTTAGCGGCTTGGCCGTTATACCCAGAGGAGAAACCGGCTTGCCGTTGGTGTGAAAGTTGCGCTGCCGGCATTGGTAAGAACAGTTTTTCATTATTTCATTTAGAGTCTGAATATAAGAAACCAGTCCTAATTCTAAGATCACATGTTTGGTATAAAATTTTTCTATGTTTAGATGCATTTTAATTTACAGTCAAAGATAATAATAATTATTATTATCTTTATAATTAGTCTGCCTAGAAAACCAATTGTAAGTGTAAGTGGAAATACTATAAAATAACAAATTCAGTTTTAAATGTTTCTGTTTTTAGGTGAATGTGTTCCTACCGATGAGTCATGTACAAGTATCAAATGCAACGCTGGAACCACATATATCAGTGACTCCGCTCAATGTCCAGAACTACGATGTGTAGCACCGGACTGTGATAAATGCGTATCCAATCAATGTTATTGGACAAGACTAGCAAATAGAGGTGGTATGTAATAATTCAAATATCTATTTAATTTTTCTATTTTTATCAGAGGTATTAAGTTCAGTACGTCAATTTAAAATCAATGTTTTTGTGAACTGGATGGTTCCATTTCGTATTTAAATTGATTTCATTTGTTTATAATATATTTTGTATAAAAATATAATTTCTAAAAAAATTATATGAAAATACTTGATAATTTTTATACGCAACACAATAAAACGTTAAGCAAGGAAACAATTTATGAGAACTGAATGTCGTTTACTTTAAATTTTTTTTTGAATAGAAGTAAGTAGTTCACTCTATTTTTTCTTTTATTTTCCAGCTCAAATAACAACGGTAACCAATGATCCAGCCGAACTATACAATTGGACGTGCGCCACAATAGACGAACCGAATTTAATCAGCTTGAGGGTATTTTCACTTAAACCGGGACATTCATACTTTGGCGTTACGAAAGAAGAGTGTCCTAGTCGCTGTCACCTCCACGACGACTGCCAGTCATGTTTGAGTTCCGACGGAGCCGAGGGAGGGTTTTCTGAATGTCATTGGGCGAGCTATCTCAGTACATGCATATCTCCCGCCTACCAGCCTTTATACTGCGCGGGCGGTGTTTGCGGATTGGTTTTAACGAAAGCTGATAAAAATAAATGTCCCGCCCCTTGCGGTACATTCGAACAGTGTACGGAATGTCTGCATCATTCACATTGCGGCTGGTGTGCGCTCGAAGGAGCTAACGGTGAAGGAGTATGTACTGAAGGGTCCATCGATTCACCATTAGATTATTCGACGCGCACCACTTGCGCCGCGGTGTATTCCAACCTCCATCAGAACAATGGCACCAATGATACATTCTCGTGGCATTACACTCGCTGTCCGCCAGAAAATGAATGTGAAAATAATCACCATCAATGTAAAGCTGAATCTGAAGTAAGTCAAATTATGTAATAGAGATTTTTTTTGTCCAATACATAATTTTTTTATTATACTTAGAAGTTATCACAATTATTAATTTCACATTTTTCAAATGACTTTTAAAGACTGAAGATTTTTTACATACTATCTTAATAAGAAATTTTATTGAGACTATGATACGTTTCATTTACTATATTATTATTAATTGTTCTGACAGGTTTGTAGTGATTTGCCAGAGGGTTATGAGTGCAAGTGCGGTGTTGGTCACAAGCGGGTTGGTGGTGTGTGTGCACCCGTGTGTCAGCAGGGATGTGTGCGTGGTGTGTGTGTGCAGCCTGACAAGTGTAGATGTGACTTCGGCTATGTGGGTGCCAACTGTACCATACAATGCCAGTGTAATGGACACTCGCATTGTGAGGGACCCGACAAGCTTGACGTATGTACCGAGTGCCATAACAACACTATGGTAAGTTATATTTTGATACATATTTTTATTAAATTATAGCTTTTATTTCTTCGCATGATCCATCCCAGTAACGAACCAATCAATTAATTATTTTTTAAATAATAATTAAAGTTTTATTTAATTACGATCGTCTTTAGGGAAGTCAATGTGAGAAATGTAAGCCTAACTTCGTCGGAGATCCCACTGACAACGGTCAGTGTATACCGTGTTCGGTGTACTGTCACGGACACACAACGGTTTGTACGAACGAAGCCGACGCTGCACTTATAAGGGATATAAGTAGCGCAGACTTAGAGGAATATTATCGCGAGGGCGGCGCTAAAGCAAGATGTGTGAGGTGCGCCAACTACACGGATGGGGCGCGCTGTGAGCGATGTATTGAAGGATACTTTAGAGGATCCGAAGACTTCCGAGACCCATGTCGGGCGTATGTACCACAATATCAATTATATACATTCTCAATACAGTTTATATAGCTTGAACAACGTCAAAAATTTTTATTAACTTAAAAATAAGTAATCAGGAAAACGAATTGAAATAGTTACTCAATGTAACGGATAATTTTTGTTACATATAAAGCTTATAACACTTTTTTTTAATAAGTTTATGGGCACTGACAATAGTTTCCACTTACATGTACTATCAATCTAACCATAATATACGACAACTGCCTCATAATACTTTCATATAACAGTTGCGAGTGTCACGGCCACGGCGATACTTGCGACCCGGTTACTGGAGAGAAGTGTAACTGTGGCAACAACACTGAGAGCGATGCGTCGTGTCAGACGGCCTCCAAGAACACGGCCCAGGAATGCTGGAGATACCAGTGTGTTAAGTGTAGGGACCTCTATATGGGCGACCCTAGAAATGGACACCAGTGCTATAAGACCATCAACATTGAAAACAAATTGTGCTTCGATGGGAAGTCTATAGGTGAGTTTGAGCATGAATTACTTGATATAGTTATGGGTTTTTATCTCTAAATTATGAAAGAATCTTAGTAAAATTACCAGGTAATGACTGATCGACTGTTTCATATATTTTATTCAATATAAAAATAAGCCTCAGTCGCACATACATATAATTTAGATCTTCTTTAGGGTAGAAGAAGTTCAAATGCTGATACTGAATAATTTTTTACCAAAATTACACTGAAATTGTGAAACTATTTCTACTAGTATGTACATTTATGTGATTACACATAGACACCACCAATATGGTATATGAATGTGTTTTTGAAGGTCTGATACTTTTAGCACTTTACATATTTGTCTATATTTGAATTAATTTGTGACTACTACCTTTAAATCATAAACATTTTACAATATGTGTTAAGACTTAATTCCAATATACAAAAGTATCATATTTTTTTTATTAAACCAATGAAATTTCATAACAGATGAATGTAAAATCAAGCCTCGCCCATTATATCCCGGGCAGACGGTGTTCGTGGCTGTGAATCCCAGATATATGAACGTTGACATCAGGGTCATAGTGGACGTCACTCAAGGGGCCGTGGATCTTTACATGAGTCCCAACGACAGCTCGTTCGTCGTATCAGTGAATTCATCATCAGGATCCCACGCGGTCGAGTTAGATCCGTCATACTACAAGCACGATCCGTTCAGAAAAGTGCCTTCCTTCGATGACCACTTACCAGAGAAACCGGGCAAGACGTGGTACTATGATAAAACGGAATATGCTCTAGCCGATTACACTGCTAAAGACCTCGCAACCTACGTCACGGTGGATAAACGTAACGTTCTTCTACGCGTCAAGAACCTTAGAAACCGTTTGGTCCTGACTCTACCTCAGAACATTCACGATCTGACTCATACCAAGTTCTATATAATCATCAGAGCGAGGCACACCGAAGACGGCTCGGCCAGTTTCGGTATAACTTTCTTCCGTCAGGACCAGCTTCATATAGACCTGTTCGTGTTTTTCTCCGTGTTCTTCTCTTGTTTCTTTCTATTTCTGGCCGCATGCGTGGTCGCGTGGAAAGCCAAACAAGCTGCAGACGTACGTAGGGCGAGGAGGCGGCATGTTGTAGAGGTAAAATATACATTTAATATTATGAACCTACAAAATTTGTTAGCGAGATTCAAAGGTTTCTAGTATAGAAAGTTCTGTAAAAGAAATCCGGCTTACAGGACCACGATATGAAAATTAGCCAAGTTTAATGAGTAACGATTTGGAAGTTTTTGCAATACATACATACAAAACTTCAAAATTAGTTATGTTACTAATAATAGTATAACCATAGAATGGTTTTAACGTTATCTTGTTTGTATCTTAATCAAAACATTATTATTTTTTATTAACTTCACAGGGAAATGTTTTTTAAAGAAAATACTTTAACTTTGTTACTCACATTCACCATCTGTTAATATATAATATAAATTCGACAGACGATACCTATACATAATTTTTTTGTAAGAACCACTTAGGGACTTAATTCAGTATTCTATAGTTAATGGCCATACATATAGCTTTATCTAGATTATGAATTATAGGTCTTAACAGTTTTCCTTACTTAACTAAGGATCACATTATTAAGAATGTAGAACTTATATACGTAATAATGTCAAGTTTAATGTTAAGATGCTGCATATGGCGAAGCGTCCGTTCGCCATGGTACGTGTGGTGGTGGGGGGTGGAGCGTGGGGCCGGCGGCGTCGAGCGGAACTACGACCAGTCGCTATAGAGCCGACATCTGACGGAAGAGCTGCTGTCACGTCGTTACTAGTCAGGTATATATAGATATATTATAGATATTTGTATTATATAAGTTCAATATACACAGGGTGACTGGTGAATTACTATCAATATTTAAGGAGAATACTCGGTACATGATTCTCATTCGAATTATGTAAAAAAAATAGGCACTTAATTTTTGACAAAATTTCCGTATAAATAAATAAAGTGTTGACACGTTCCAAGTGTGGACGCGTGCGGCGGCGTGCTGATACAACACTACGCCGCCGCACACGTATGTGTGTGTGAGTGTATACCTAATCTGTAGGGTGTTCACACGATGCGTAATTAATTACATAACTTTTGGTTAACTTTACTTAGAAGTTTATTAATATTTATGTTATATTAATTTTTATTTTGTCATATATGATCGTCAACTACCACGTCCTCAAATATCGATAGTAATTCACCAGTCACCCTGTATATACCCTCAACATACAATGACAATCAAGATTTCTTAACAAAATTCCTTTTGTCGAATTTTATGTCACTCTTAATACAGCTGCTATAGAGTAATGCAATATAATACAATCAAGACGAAGCAGTCCTTGAAAATACTGATATCATTGGGTATAGAAAGAAAGAAAGAAAGACAGTTTTTATTTGAGACACGTATACAGTGACGTATAAAAAAAAACAAAATAGATAAATTACAAATTAAAAAACAAAAAATAAACAAGAATAAAGAAAAAAATAAAACTTATGACTAATTTACAATAATGCACCTACATCAAAACATGAAAAAAAAAATAATTAAAACTTAGGATAAAAAAAAGAGAAATCAATGTGTATACTGGTATCATTCTATGTCTTTATAGATTAAGGACATGCAATTTGACAGTTCATAGTCAATTTTGTGTATGTCAACAATAAAATAGATTATGCGATAAAGTTTTGAAAATAATATCTGATAAATAACAATAACCATCATAACTTGGTCCATGTTTTCCAGACTCCCCGGTGGTTCCCGAGCTCCGGTCCGTATGGCTCTAGGTTCAGCGTTGGTGTTGGTGTCACGTGGCCCGGCAGCGAGACCACGCACGAGGAGACCGCTCACTTAACACACATCATAATAAATGTGAAGATACATCAAATAGTTAACAATCAATATTATCATGGGTAAATCATACTCTCAAACTCAAATAACTTTATTCAATATAGAAGCATTACACTTTCCTATTGATGGTTACTTGAGACACTACCACCGGTTCGGAAAAGAAAATACCCTCTTAAGAAAATACTACTCTTATAAGTGAATCAAATTTTAACATATAATAACGTAATATAAAATACTTTGTTTAAGAATAATTTATTAAATATGTGAAATCTTCTTACATTATACTCAGAGATTAACCTAAGTATCGTAAGTAAGAAATGCAAGTTACAATGAGACAAATACGAATAATATAACATTCATAGGAAATCTCCTTATAATTACATAACAAGACTCTCACGAGGCTGAAAGATGAATCAATCATCCTATCATAATATAATAGCATGTCAACATATTTCAACTTGATCCATTTGAGTCATCATAAATATTTCTTCCAGGCCATCCAAAATATGAACATGGAGCATAAACCAACAGGATCGCTGATCAGCGGAGATGAAGGCAGTATTGGTTTACAACAAAATAATTGGAATTATTAAATGAAAGTATCTATAAAATCTATTACAGTGCTCAAGACTTGCTCATGTGAACGTCGTGCTTCAAAATATATTGTAGCTCATTATATCATTTACAATCGACTGCATCAAACATTCCAAAACATTTTTATATATAAATATATAGAGAGTAATGCATTTCTACTGACACTATCTTGGTATATATTTTGTTAAGTAGTAGATGTGAAGTAGGGTACTCAATAAAATTTCGCATAATGTATAAGTCGGTGTGGATAGGTGAAGGTAGGAGTTATAGGATATTAAGCAGATTATATTTTGTCTTATTGAATACTATATAGTACTAAATATACATCTATATTAAATTTAATAAATCAATATTTTCTTGTGACGTCACAGTTTTGTTATTAAGCACAATTTCGTTTGTGTTTCTATAAATCTGTGAAAATTTTTATTGGTTAATATTTAAATGTAGGGATGTTATTGAAAATAGCCATTAAATTCATGCGCAACAATAAAATTAGTATAAAACTTTGTAGTGAGTTGTATGTGTATAATAGAAAAATATATTTAATCGAGTTAAACGTAATCTTCTCGGTACTAACGGGACTCGCTTTATTGAAATCTTATTTTATGTAATTTTGCCATATCTATCAGAGCCAAAGGAATCAAAATTAGCGTGATTTGAGCGCAGGTTGTGAAATAGATTAGCCAATAGTTGCGGATGTTTTGTTGTTTATTACGAAATTTTATTATGTGATGTTAAAAAAAATTGATTACGTTATGGCTTGTTGATTATAAATATATTATTAATAATATAGCAGCTGTCGTCCGTGCGGATTTTATTTACAAACTTAGTCTGTATAAATAAAAGCATTATACTATGTTTATTTGTCAGATATATCATATATGTGTAATATATTCAAAACGCTTATAACTGAATCTCTTGAAATTATTTGGCAGCTCTGCTACAAGTAATACAATGAAATATATTAAGTACAAATACTAATATACTCTGTGTGAAATATATATCTGCTTTAAGTGTAAATCGATGTATATCCATTTAGGACTATTTAAAAGTTAAAACATCAAATAAATATAAAAATTTTTGAGTGCCAACTTTATACAAGTAACCCATTCAGTATTTTCAATACGCCTGATAGTAATCTTAGTATGATTAGTTTTTATTTTAATTATTAAAGAATTATGTTAAATGAAAACGTCCTAAATGGTCAAATGTATTCTATTACATTATACACTTTATGTATAGCTTTCAGCTATTTTTATGAACCTTGATTTATACTCGCCATTAATAAAAAAGTGTTGTTTTTTTAATATTTCATTAAAATATTATTCTTTTTTTGAAAGTCTAAACTCAGTGTAATATTTTAATTGTGAATTATAAATAATATTATTTAACATATAATTGTCCATATATTTTTATTAAGATTCATGTTTTTTTTTATCATAGTCATTAGTTAGATATTTAATAAAAAAAATATTTATTGTCTGTCCTATTATATACAGCTTTGTCCAATATGATATAATTTTTTATTTTATTTTGTATACATATAATAAATATATAATTGATATTATAAGAAATGGTTGCTGAAAAACATATGTATCTGCTACAATGCTTGTATAATTTTGAACATCTCTTTTTCTTGAGTCAATATTGAAAGAATTAAAATGTATTATGTTTAAAGAAATATTGTAAATAATATAAATTATTTATTTACATTGTAAAGCATCCATGTCCTGTATTTTTATTTTATGAAATTCAAACATTGAAGAAAGTCTATAAAATTATGTATCCAAATAAAAATGTAAACTGTGCATCAATATTATCTGTGAAAGAAAAAAATTGCTCACATATAATTAGCAGTATTGTGTTGATAATGAATTGGTTTATTTAAGAGTAGAAACATGTTTTTAATATAAGATAAAATTATAAAAATATAAGCCATAATTATATAAGAGAGTACTGATATTATTATAAATACTGTATTTAAGATATGTGATCAAATATGTACCCAGAAATGGTATAGAAAAGTCCATGATACATTCCATTTGTATATTATCTTTGTACAAATATATTATAAGCATATAACATATGAATGATTATAAACTGTTTAATATAGAGCTTTAAGGGCGGCATTCGAAAAATATTTCAATTTCTTTCTTTTTAAATCCTTTTTTTTATATTAATAATTGATTTTAAATGCATTTATTTATTCTTCGTTGTATTTAAATCATTTTGTATTGTGTATATGAATTGGTTATTTTTCGTACGAATTAAAAAAAATTGTCTAAAAATTATATTGTGTTGTATGAATCTTGTGTAATGAATTACTTTGAATTTGGGATTGCGTCATGTAGTGTAGTTGGTTTTTTTGCTCAAAGATTTGCCTAAAATTATTTGAGATGCATTACAACATGATGATTTTAAAGTCTTATACAATAAATGTGTGAGATAGTTAAAAAAATCTTTAAATGTTGTATTTTACATGAATTATTATTTATATGTAATGAATGTATAGTCAGTCTTATAAATATGCTTTCTATAAATGTGTATGACAATTGTCTTGACAAATCTATAAAATCTCATTGTTTCATGGCATGTAGTGGTATAATATAAAATTATTTTTAAATATTATCATACAATAAATTAGTAACATATGAGCTGTAAATATTTGGTATTTATTGCCTATAGCTTTTTGAATTCTTTTGTATCCAATGTATGTAATTATATTTGCTCGCCTTTTGTACAAATGTACCCTTTTGTTTTTAAATATTTTTGTTACATTGCACAAAACTTTGCCTTGTTTATTAGATTTGAATTATATGACACATATAACGTTATTGTTTTGCCTGTGTTTTATATAATATTGAAGGGATCTAACATTGTAACATCACAATGACCATGACATCTTATAAAGAGAAATTGGATGAATATAATCGACATAGGCAGTATTGTATATGTAAGCAATATGTTTTTGGTTAACTAACTGTAAATGTTTATAAATAAAATATACTGTTGGTTGCATGATTTATTTATTTAAGCTCTTACAGTGTCCATAAATAATTGAGGTTTTATAATAAGAATAAACTGTCAGTGGTTGACATTATACACTAATACTATTGTTCTTTTTGAGTTAATATAGATGAGTTTTGATTTTCTGTAGCAATTCCTTCTTAACTGTGTCTGGTACGAGGGCTCTTGCTCTGGGAGTAACTCGTGTCACGAGTGTGTCAAATGTTACATTGTTTCCATCATTTTCTTTTACTATTTCCCGGCATAACATTCTCACTTGGTCCCTCCATCCACACTCAATTAATCGACGTCTCAAAAGTTCCTTAAATCTGTAAATTTATAATTAGGAGAACAAAATGCAATATTCTAATATTGCTGGAATTTTTATCTTATTATGAAAAACAAACAAACACAATATCTATAATGTTCGGTAAACAAAAATGAAACAAAAGGGACTTTATTTTGTGTTTTAAGATAGTTCCCTACACTTTTTTTCTATTATTTAATGTTTGAACTGTAAAAATAGCTACATAAAGGGATTAAGCAAATCTACTACGAAATCTTTTTAAGAATCTATTTACATTTCAATACGGTGAATTATCCTGAATACAATATTATAATAACAATTTTTTTTTAATACCCACTAAAAAGAATAATGAATTTATTCAAAAATTATAAGATTACCTTTCACGATCTCCTGTTAATGTGAGTCTTTGGTGAGCGATTGTATTATTTACCGTCATTATTATAGGGAAACAAGTTTTTCAACGAAATAAACAACAAATAACAATTACAAATTTATGCACTCTGATCCGTCACTAGCTTCGTCGAGTTCATGATATTGACATAAGTCAATATGAATTGCCAATTGACACTTACCTCCATACAATAAATTCGTGTTGATGGTATAGAGTGACAAAAGTTTCAAAAGATTTTATATTTTTTTACATACATAAGATGGGTTTATACATATTTAATTCACCTGAAATTTTTAGATCATAAAAGTTGCATAGATAAAATAAATTTAATGGCGATTCAACGGTTTTATTAGACTCGATCCTTGTTCAGTTAAAATTCCCAAGTAACCCAGTGTTTTTTAAAATTTATTTAAAATTTATTTATTAAATAAAAAGCAATTGTATATATGTATTTCAATGTAATTATAAAATCTAAGTATAATTAAGGTTTAACAAAACCCGATGGACCAAAAGATGTTATTAGTTTGAACAGAATAGAATACACAACAATATTAAATAATAACGTCTTATGTCTTTACGAAGGATAAATATTAAGTTTTTAGTAACCATAGAGGATCTTCAGAAGATCGTTGCTTATAAAGTAGTAATGCAGAAGAAAGTAAAATACGTTTACTTTCATTATAACAATCATTTAAAACAATGAATTGATATACAGATTTAATAACTTTTATTTAACTGGTGAACAAATCCAAGATAAATCTTAGTCAATATAAACAGCACTTGTAAGTTTTCACAACGTTAATTTAATTATCCCTAAATATGTGTTTTGCTTTTATTCCTTCATATCTTTTCTAAGGAAGCCAACGTACAGTCATCATTATATAGTGATTATTTATAAACTATATTTCAAAATGCAATTCGTACATGTTTCTATTCTATTGCTCTTGTTTTCTGTGATACATGTGGGTTGGCATAATGTTTCTCATTGTGACCGTTTTGAAAAATTACCCCGGTATTGAACTATAAATTATTGCATCATTACAGGCTCGTCAATTCAGAGTCACGGATCAAGTTTATCTAGATATAATTCGAGATGACAAACCCGTTGGTCGAATAGTTATAGGACTTTTCGGCGATCTAGCACCAAAAGCTGTTAAGAATTTCAAAGTACTTGCAACAAAAGGAATTAAAGGGAGATCATATAAAGGAACAAGTTTTAATCGTATAATAAAACGCTTTATGATACAAGGTATGGTTTCACTCGATTTTATTTATGGCTATTGTTATTGATAATGCCATTATTCATTTCATTAACAATTCCCAAAATATAAGGTACCTAATAAAGAAAAAATGTGTTTCTTTTTCAAAGGAGGTGATATTGTATCTGACGATGGAACAGGTTCTATAAGTATATACGGTAAAACATTTCGGGACGAAAACTTAGAAACCCAACACACAGATGCTGGATTTGTGTCAATGGCGAATAAAGGTATATTGCATAATATTTACTTTCTCTGTTCATTTATTAAGACCAAACTTATCAGTAACAAGCATACGATGAATGGCAATTTTTTTAGGTAAGGATACAAATGGTTGTCAATTCATAATAACGACGAAACCAACACCTTGGCTTGATAACTTACACACTGTTATTGGAAAAGTAAGTTAAACATTACGCACATTTTTCATTTTTATATTAAAGTATATGCAAAAGCAATTTTTATTTAAACCAGGTGGTAGAAGGTCAAAAGATTGTCCACATGTTAGAGCAGACTCCAACCGATGCTGACGATAGGCCGATAGTGCGTGTGTACATTGCGGACTGCGGTCTGCTGTCCACTAAACCTTTTTACGTGTCTGATGACCCTTATGAGTGAGTTATAATTATTAGATCTATTTAAAGAATCCTGAAGATATACAAAATAAAACAAACGATAATAAAAAATTACAAAAAAATCGGTAAAAATCATTTACATAAAAGTTTTATTAAATTTGATTCCTACTAATAGAAATATTTAAAAGCATAAAAATCAATAAATTATCAGTATGTGTCATTTACTTTTCAGTCTTTGGGGTTGGATCAAGGTGTCAGCCGCTCCGCTGTCAATGTCATTCTCCATATTGGCTTTCTTTCATTGGATGATAAAAAAGATGGAGATTTAATAGGTCTTAAATAAATTATTTATAAAAAAAAAACAAGATGTAGTAGAGTAATTTGTTTTAATTTATCTTATTTTTAATCTATTTACAATTAATTTTCTTATCAACGCTATCACAACCAACAAGCATGAAAATGCATGTCATAAATTGTTTTTTCTTTCTATTTTTTGGTTAAAATACTTGAATACTTTATAATATATTATTGCTAAAGAAGAATTATTTTTATCGCTGACTGTTAATAATTTCAATTAAATACATAACTATGACATAAATTATGTTTCTTCATTTTCTTTGCAGAACAAAACCTAAAACGATTGTGTATTTAAAATTTTAGGTTCAATTCATTTCTATTTATGTACTTATATAAATAATTTCGAATTTAACTATAAAATTATAAGCGTCAACACTTCACATGTTTACAAATATTTTATTTTGTTAATAGTTATTAGTGAAGAATTGTAATTAAATTAGTGTGAATACAATACAATTAATTACATAATATTTTGAAGCTCTTCTGACATGTACAACTATAATTTTATAAAACTAAATAATTTGAAAATCTTTATAAACTGACTAATAATGCTAGAGCGAGACAGAGCACTGTTTGTGCGAGCGGGACAGATGCACTGTTGGGTTTCCGTGTGGCGGCGGGAGTGGTGGGGGATGCACGCTGTTCCGCTGCGGAGCCACAAGCACGCTCACATGAGGGCCACGAGCGACAAATGTCGCACGCGGTACTAGGGACAGCCTGGTAGAATACACGCGCTCGGGTGACCTGGTGATTTATATGGATTAAAACATAGAAAATACACTTAAGACATGGTGTCTTAAATCCACATGTTTTTACTTAATAGCTGTAGATATTTATGAATAAGTAACTGAAAAACTTGAAAAATTAACTGTAACTGTCGTTTTGTAGCATTGTGTAGATGGACCAAAATTCGTAAAAAATCTTAAACAAACTAATTTTTCTTAATATTTTAAAGCTTTTCACGTTATTTAGGAAATCTATAAATACTATTTTATTTTAGAAAATATGTACATGTTTTAACTTACTAGAGTCATAAAGGTCCATTATGGTAACGTATCCAGGTCTCTGCCTAGCGACGGGTAGAGCGCGTGGAGCTCCGAGAGTGGCGCACCGCTCGTCCACTGAAGGTCGCACCCACGACACCACGCGGGAACCACCGAGCATCACACGAGCACCCACCACGTGACGCGCCGACTGGGATAGTTAAAGATTTTCAAATAAATTAGGGTGTTATTTATAGATCTGTTTCACTTTAAATATCATTAAGATTAGATGCTTACTGTGAAGTATAAAACATTATGATCGTGAAAAAATGTTTATATTAATACAAATCATGGAATTATATTCGCTCATATTTTTGTGTATCCCTATATTTCAGGGATTTAAGATTTTATGTAGTTACATATTTTTTATTACGTGTATAGGATATAGGGATAACAAGATATAGTTTTACCGTTAACTCTGTTATAGTATTTATGTCAGCCAAATATCCTGATGGTAGTTGTACAATTAGAAGAGCCAGTCCGCTTTCAGTTTCATTGCCAGCAGGAACAAATCTATAAAATGAAATAAATGGTTGTATATAACGGAAACAATTTATTCTTTAAATTTGACATTTGGATATATTTCTGTATTTTGTTGTGACTTATTAAGTTTAATTAGCTAAAAAAACTTAAGGATAAAATCAACTTAAGATAGTCACTAAATTAGCTATAGCAGTTTTGATAAGTCAATATATACGAGACCTACCCTATGCATACAGACAGTTGAAGTCGGTCTCTAGTAGATACTTGATCCACACGTGGGTCGAGCGTGTAACGAGGCCAGGCTCCCGTCACATTGGTACTGCCACGAGCAGCTAGACCCACTACAGCCATACCCCGACCCTCGGTCACTGCACTCGCATTACGAGCATTGCGTACCTAGATAATATTATTATAGAAATATATTTAAAAATTTCGTGTCACGTGTTTGTCCGCCATGAACTCCAAAACTGCTAAATCGATTTTAAATTTGATTTACATTCCGTGTGCATTTTGATCCAACTTGAAAGATAGGATAGCTTACATCTCAATGTATAGTCACAATATTATTTTATTGCAAATTATTACAATTATCTGTTGACTGAGTTAAGTATTCAATAGATGGCGCTATGTTAAAAATACAAACGTCATATATGAGCGACTATTTAATACATAATAGCATAACCACCACGTGTTTCTGAGGCTAAGGTATAACCTAACTATATTTATTAAAAAACGTAACAGATATTTCTTGATTATAGGGCGATACGAAGTTCGCCGGGTCTTCTAGTGGAAATATATATTGTAAATTCTTGTTAAATTGTATAAGATCAAATGACAAGTAATAATGAATCTAACCAGTTGTGTTTGTAAGATCAGTGAATTGTCGCTGTCGATGTTGAACTGACGCGGTTCCTCAAAACCGGTAACATTTACAGATACTCTCAGTTTCGTCGTCGTTCGTATCATGTGGGCAAATAACGCCAAAGCGTCTAGCTGAAATATAAAAATAATTGAATTATTATTCTTTCTCTCTTTTAAAACTATTTAAAAGCAGACCCAAGAGTATTTTTTCTATACCATACGACCAAAAGACATTGAATGAGGTGAGAATAATTGTTGAAATCTGTGGATATTTGAAAAAAATTGACGTGACACCATATAAAGTTGATAATTATTGTTATTATTTTGCTATACATAGTTGCTGGTTCCTTCGGTCAAAATAAAATATTGATTCAAGGGCAAAGAGTTTGACTCTTTAGATCATAAATAAAATTAAAAACAGAATAATGTGGAAAATCAATAAATCAATTAGTAAATACACTTATACTGTATAGTATAACTGTAATACTGTATAGTATAACTGTATTAGTATTAGTGGCCAAATCTATAACGATGATCGTACCACATCCGGGTCTTGGTCTCTAGGTCCTAATGCTTGTATGAGGTATCTTGCAACAGGTACAGATTCATCTATCAGACTCGAGGCTAACATAGCGCGAAGACCCCAAGCTGCTGTTGAAGCCTCAAGAGAATTACCCTTCAGCCATGGGTTCCGTAATTCCGATTTCGATAATTTTCGAGGCCAGTAGAGATTTACACCTGTGTATATGAATTTATCGATACTGTTAATTTAAAAAAGGTTTAAGAGGAATACCACTAGTTTTGGAGTCTGTACACCTTTCGAGTTTATGACTGCATAAAACTGAAGTTTATCAATAGAAAAAATTGTTTTTAAAAAACTTCATAGTTAGGTTAAGAAATATACTAGCTTTGTTTAAAAAGTTAAAATAAGCGGTTAACCTTTGAATACCCTTTTTAAATTATTATAGTTCATACCTCCATCGCTGTGTGCATGTGTTTCCAAAGCTTTCAGAGCTAGTGCAGCACGAGGATGTCTTGCGGCGGCCAGCGCGGCTCCTACTAATGCCAGGGTCGGCGCTTCAAGAGACTCAGACACTTTATCGGCTAGGTAATCCAAAGCTTTATTCATAGCGTTTTTGTACAACGGATCGCTTGCCTGGAATAAATGAAAATGTTCGTTAGTAGTATACTTCCATTGGTTTTGGTATGATTTTTTTTAAGAGAAAACACAAATATTTTCAATAATTCTATTACTGGAACATTTCAAAACATCATCTTTTAAAAATTAATTAGTTTATATACTTTAACAATAGGCGAGTATAGTTAATTTAGTTTCGTTTAGCTAAGTTAAAAAAATACGTTCACACGTCACGGGATAGCGCTACCGCTCAATATCGAAAACATTCTACAATATTCGTTAAAGCGATCATTAAGCTGGCGTCACCACATTTATATAACATATAAATTTTTAAATAATATACCCGAATTTGAGAGTGATAAGTAAAGAAATATGTACTAATATAAAATTTACCTTAGTCTCTAACAGTGCTAATAAAGCTTGAGCCGTGAGTGGCAAGGCTTCCCGTCCCAGTGGGTCGTCAGGTGACGCCAAAGGTTGCCAGCTACCGTCACTTCTTTGAGCTGCAACCAGCCAGCGTGCCGCGGAGGTTGCAGCTTCAGGAGACACTTCAACGTACCGCGAGGAACGGCTTAGCCATCGAGCTGATAATGCTGTCATCCTGAAATCAATAATATCCTATTTAAATATCACATGGTCTTGAAGGGGTACCGTTCGTATTACAAATTGTCCATGATTATTTAATATTGAAGATTTATATAATAATTTGCGTAACATTTCAGAATTCACACGTTCACTTTGATTTTAAAATGCATTTTAGTATATTATTTACGTCCAAAAATATGTTACTGCAATTATTATCTTACCAAGCATCAGGTTCAGAATCTTCACCAATTTCCTGAACAAACGAACCGTCTGGTCGTCTGAATGCCATTAGTCGTTGGTAGCCGGTCGCTGCTTGTGATCGAGCCTCCTTTACTATTGTGATTTCATCGTCTTGATCTGTGGCCTTAATTTGAAATATTTTATGTATAAAATAGTTTCAAATTAAATAAAAACAGTAAAGTTACTATGCCATAAAAAAATACTAACTTGTAAATAGTCCAACAATACACAAGCTCTTGCTAATGGTCTCAGAGCATAATTAGGGTCAGCAGCTGATATAGGTGGCGATTTGATGGCCCTAAATGCATTCGCCAATAAGTCTCCAGTAGCTTCCAATGAAACCGCTCCTAGTTTAGTCCCGGCTGCTGGTTCAAGAGTGACGTTAGCGCGAGCCACACCACGACGACCGTCTAATATTGCCCAAGACCAGACATCTTCTACATATCCGTCCTACGGATAGAAATAATTGTTTTCAAATATATATTATATCACTGACGTACATGTTTCTCAGTATCAAAATTTGTCTATAGATATTTTGGGAGTTTAAATCTTTTTGAATTTAATCTAATTATTATTAAATATAAGGCTTTTTGTATTTAAATCTTCAAATATTTTTTCTGAGATTTAAGTAAGTGTTTTTATTTCCTAGTAGGTGTTTATATTTTTTTTATTTATGCTTTATTTCTATGGAAGTCTGAAAATTTTATATTTTCTCTTGGAACCTCTTAAGATCATAGAACTCTAACTAAAAAGACATTTCTTATAATGTACATATGTTAGAAAAAAATAAATTTTATTTAGAATATATCGTGGCTATGATAACTACACACGTACATATATATTTAATTCATATGTTATAATAATATTTTAACAGATTTATTATCTTGTCCTACAAGGAAAATAAATAAGATTAAATATTGTATAATGTTATCCAACCAGTTTGTACACTTTTAATTGACGTTTTTATTTATCTATACATAAATATATTAAAATATAATGTATCTTAATAGAGGTATACCTAGATTACCTCGTGACTACATTAAGAGTTCAATGTAAGACAATTGAATGAAGGACGTTTACAGATTTTGTGTATATAAATATTTTTGTTAATAAATGTACTTTTACTTTAATGCTCACTGTTTTTATTAAGTATCTAAGTCACCTGAACGTCAATGGTGCGGAAGAGTGAAGCGGAGACTCCATTGCCGTTGGCTTCCACAATGACGGGTGAGTCACCGACGCGACGAGCGCTCACGAGGAACGCTGTGCTTACAGACCCTCGGGCTGGCACGGTCACACGTACTCGACGGAACAATTCAATCTCTGGGTTAAAGATACTTATATGTTTTATGGAGATAACTTTACTGGTTACATATATTTGTACACTGTAAATACCAAAAAGTAGCAAAAAAGAAAAAATCCCCTACGTGCTCCTGAATTTCTATACTAGAATAGATATATATTTTTTTGCGAATTATGAAATTACCCATTGTATGGGGACAAGAAGATTGAACACTGATTGCTTAAAAAATTAATTAGATTTAAGAGTTAATTAGTCAAAAAAATATAATTTTAATTTCGATATGATTTTTTTTAATACTTCTATTATGCTTACTTTTTGTCGAGTCAATATTATTTTCAAGAGGTTCGAATTCGTAGTATTGATCGGAGTTGTGGAATGTGACTTCCACTGAAGTATCGACTGTAAGAGAACTTTTTAGAGTCACAATCACAGCTAATGTTTCTCCTTTTTGCAGACTTGCGGGAAGTTCGGCTGATAGGGAGAGGGGAAGGGCGGTGTTAAACTTGCGAGGTGCCGCAAGACCAAGACCCAGTGTTGGATGAATCGCAAATGCTCCGACCGACCATTCACCAGGAGTTATTGGGGACCAACGCTCTCGTGTACCAACGCCGTCGGAACTATAAGGAAGAAATAACTGTAGTACATATATAAATTGTCAGAACATAATATTTATTAGGTTCTTTGGAAGTATACCAGCACCTGATAATAGGAGTTTACAATCTTTGTGACAAAAAGGAGTCTTATGAACGTGTTGGTTTTATTGTAACATAAAATTCATACCCAATAGTTATATTAGTAAACATCCAAGTTGAATGTGGTGAGAGTGGTTCCGTCAAGTATTGTCTTGGCGATGGCGGTGTAGGAACTCGACTGAAGGCGTAAGGACCTGCTGTTGGTGGACGGGTGCCTGTCTCGATTTTCTCTGTTTCATCTGATAATAAAACCGTATATATGAAAGTTTATAATCTTGGTTAATCAAAGAAATCAATTAAAGTAATTGTTTAATCATATATTAAGACTTCTTACCCTTCATACTACTTGATACAACAACACCATCTGTCAGAAGAACCATTCCAGCATTCTAAAAAAACAAACACCCATAAATAAATTATTTTATTAAAGATTGATATTTATATTATGTACACAGTTTTTCTTACACTAAACACATCGGTAGAGTTACGTCCACCCAAGTCTAATCCCAAAATCGGAATGTCGTCATCGTTTTTGAATAATGATCTTTTTATGCCAATGAAGCTTTCAACTTCTCGTTCGATCTAAAACAAATGACATAATTAATCGAACAATAATTAGTCAAAGTCTAATTAAATTACAAGAAATAGTTTTTCTTCTAAACATATATAATTATACGAGTATATATAATTAATTAATTCGATTATCCTGGCAAAATAAATACCGTGTGTAAGTCTAGCCCGCTACCCAGGCCGTTGGTTCCAGCGAGTCCGTTAGTAATGGCGTGTTGATCTCCTCCAAGTAGACCAGCCTGAGCTCCCGCCTCACCGAGCACTCGGAACTCAACCAGCCCATTAGGACGTAGAGAGGACCCTGGAGATACTGATGTTACTGACACCTGGACCATGAACAGAGATCAGAAAATACAATGGACAGGTTTGCGCAGTAAAGTAATATCATAATATAGTAAAGAAAACTGACTCCAAGAACCTACAAATTATTTCAATTTTGTCAGTAAGTAGTAATGTATAAGTTTATTTGGATATTTTTTATTTTATTCTGAATTTTTCATGTCCATTAAAAACTTTATTAAATATTAATTATGTTTGAATTATGCTTTTAGGACATGTACCTTATGCTGCATCAAGTCTTTCTGTGGAACCAATAACGCTGCAGCCAGAATTGATCCTGTTAATCGAGGGCTCCAAGCTATAAGCGAGCAGCCCGGCGACATGCCACTTGTTACCGGTACTGAGATATCTACGCTGGTACGAGGGGGACTTAACTGTGAATATCAGAAAACATACATATTATAATTTATAAGTGGCTCCAAGAAAATATCTTTGGTGGATTCATTTTACAATATTTTTGAAGTGATGATTCTAATGCGACTTCCAACAATGTTTCGTTAACCGTTCAACGCTCCTGAGGAAGTATAAACGGAAATAGAAAAAGATGGAGCGAGAGCAAATGAGTGTGTCAATTTTGAATTGTAAAGAGGAGGAACTAATCGCAATATTTTTTTTAAACTAGGTCTCTTTCTCAAAACTGAATATAATTTTATTATGAGAATAATATAGAAGAAAGTTTCATATACCTCTAATGTTTTAGCAACAAGAATGTCCCCTCTTCCGATGACCGCGTAATGCACCAGGTCCATAGGTTCAGTGGAGGTGGCTCTCCCACGCAGCTCATCACCGATAGACATATCTCGTGTTAATAGTTCCAGAGTCATGTATTGATCACCAGTCTCCAAGCTCTTCTGGACGTTAACTACTCTTTCTGATATTTCCTTGTATTTGATCTAGTATATAAAACATTATGAAATGATTTTTATATTGGAAGTTATAAAATTTTTGTTTTGTTGTATCAGATTTAAGACTTTGATAACTCACCACTAAATTAAGAGTAGAATTTGTGTGAGCAACATCTGGAGTGTAAGTGTAAATTCCAAAACCCTTGTTAAGTTTTATAGTTGTTTTGTTAACTGGTGCACCATCATCCCAAAGTCTTTCAACGACTACATCATCAGATACGGGTAACGTCTCACCAGTAGAATTAACTAATTGTATCTGCAATAAGTAATTAGATTCGATTTAATATATACGTAGATATTTAAATTTAATTTTAATATTTAATCAAAATAACGGCAAATACCTGAATAATATAAGGTAACTTAGGCTTAAACCTTTCAGGAGCAGTAACTTGAAGTCTATAAGGTCTTCGCAAAAGAAGTATTCTAGTGGAAACATTCTGTCGTATTAATGTATTTTTTTCTTCTATCACAGCTTCAACTACTAACGGTCTAGCCGCATCTTCAGCCAGATCTAAGTCTGTTTTAAGGTCATACAAGACATCCGCTTGACCGTTAAATTCGATCACTTTACGAGCGGGAGATGAAAATACCGGTTGAAGTAGTCCCGAGAAGAATACAGCGTATGCGGATATTGTTAATTCACCTTTTACTGGCAGGCCATTAAAATGTCTGTGAAAGATATTAGTTTTGTTTTATTTAAATTATATTTAAATGGTTTTCATAAGAAAAATACTAAAAGTCAGTCAGGAATATTCTTAACATTAATAACGGAGAGATGGAAAATAATTATTTCTTTATGACGATCAAACAAAGCTCGAGAAAAATATAAAGTTATTTTCTTAGCTACATTGAACAATCGGTAATTATGTTTGACAAGCGAATTATTGTATCTCGTTTTCCCTATAAAGAATGTTTCTTATATATCTTTGGAAAAAGCAATTTAAGTTTATTTATACTTGTTTTGGCGGAGGTTATTACTTAATAGGTACTTGATAGTTTGCTAGGAATATGTAAGTTAGTTCAGGGATTTGTATTTTTAAATATGGGTTCGAATATTGAATTGGAATGTTCTTACCTGGCTGTAACATTAATGTTAAATCTTCCCTCGCTAAATAGAACCTCCTTTGGTACTTTCATATTCATCTGGAATTTGGGTAGCACGTAGTCTGCCACCATCACATGTTTTGAATATTTCTGCCCCTTGACCTCTACCTATTTAATTTCATTATATTTCATATATATGTAAACCAAAAACATTTTATAAATTCATATTGAAGTACCGCGTATATCTGGTAAGGTCATCGCTTGGTAAGTACCCTACAATTTGGAGGCTATACAACATTGATCTGGTTATTAACGGTAATCCTTTCACCGGATATTTTGTGTTGTTTTGAATAAATAGAATTGATTATCAGGTACTTTTATACGGTTGGTTATATAAACTTGTGTAAATTATAAAAATAAGTATATAAATTACTTGTATAGTCCATTGTCCTAAAGCGGGTTCATCGGCTAACAGAAGTTCATTAGAAAACAATCCTTTATCGAGGTTGACTGAGGCCCATTGCCTCACAGGTGAGCCCTTGGTATCCAACACACTCACATCCACCGTCCCAGAGAGAGGCAACAGATACCTGGGGTCAATGATCGGATTTCTTCACTCATGTTACAATCGAAAGTGTATGCGTGATCTTGATTTTTAGTGTTCGCACAAACTTTCAGTGAAAGTATTATGTATTAAAAAATGGACTTAAACAATAAATTTTAATCCACAACTTACTTGTCCAAAGCGATTACTCTGAAGTTAATGGTGTCACCTGGTTGGTATACACCTTTATCGGTCTGTACGAAGACACAGAAGCTTCTGGCTTCATAAATTAGTGGGGCTGAAGATGCGAAGAGAGGACCTGATGTCGCCCGAGCAACTAATTTATATTTCCCAGGCCCTGGATCACCGATCTATAAAATAAGTACCTTTTAGGAATACTTATAATAAATTATAAATTATTAAACAGACATGAAGTGTGTATTAAAATAATTAATTAATCATAGTCATATATCATATCATAAGATATGGCTATTGTTGTCTCATAAAATGTCATTTTTACATTTTTATTCATTTTTTTACATTAGTTTTATATACGTACATAAATATTATTATTTGTCACGCTTTTAGAGCATCACGATCGTATGTAAAGTTACGTAACAAAAGTGCGTTACATCAAGATGGTAGGTATTGTTTCACATTAGTTGCGTAAAACTTACATCGAGTTCTATAAGCCTAGAAGAAGCAGGTGCTACTTGCACTACTCGCCCCTGTGAGAACTGTTCTCCAGTTGTCTTCCTGCCCTCTATAGCCACGTATAGATTATGCGCTTTGTCACCTCCAGCGATAGAAACTTTGTAATTTCCATAGGGCCTTAAAACCTTCGGTCCTAATACTGATACGCTACAAATGAAATGTTTTCAGTATTAAAATTTATTACTACATTCTCGTGTAAAATATAGAGCGTTAGTTATAACTAAATATATGTAATTGCAAAAAACAAATTGACACCAACACAATGGTTCGCAAACATTTCTCTAATGTTCAAGAGTGGGAAATGTTATTTAATTACTTCTTTATAATAATAACGGTTGTGAGTCCCGTCTAGAAAAAGTTGCTCTACTTTATTTGTAAATATATCTAAAGTATATTATATATGAGAACTCGATTTCGAAAACAGGAGTTTGGCATAATAATATCTTGGAATAAATATTATGAATATTCCATTGAGCTTCTATTGTTATAAAATATTAAAAAAACTTAACTTGTACTTAAATGAATACTCGGAAAAATCTTAGATCTTATTAACTTGTACTTTCCATGCTCTTAATATTATGTGAAATAGTGTATGAATCATGATTATGACAAAAAAGAATTATTTTATTTCTATAGAGTTTAATTTTTTAAGTGAATTCTCCATTTATTAAATACTGTTTAATACAAAATTATGGTGCATTAATTACGCTAAATAATGTTTCAAATGTATTCCGAGTAATGTCATGAATTGAAAATTACAAAAACATATATAAGACAAACAGACAATCAAACTCCGATCTGTAATAATTGATTCATGTCTTGTAAATGGAATTAAGCATTTTAATATGACCAAACATGGTTATATTAAAATCACACATTAACGTTATATATATGGAAGACAATTTAATCAGTTCTCTTAATATTACTCACCATTGTATATTGCTTTTAGCAACTAAAACTGCCAAGACGGTAAAAACAGCTGCATTGTATTTCATTTTGCTGTAATAAATTTAATGATTGGCTTTATATATTTATAAGATATCACTTATATATAATGGGAAAATTCTCAATTTAAGTCTTGGAGGCAATTTATAGTTCATGTGTTACATATAATTAATACTTGAAATTCAAATGCTATTAAATTACTTTACTTGACTTGCGATTACAATCTATTGATTCAGCTTTGATTTTTAGTTTTGTAGCAAACTATTACTATCGTCCATACATCAATTACCCAAGTTATCATAATCACACTACAAACACCGCGTTAACGGTTTTCCATGCATAAATCTTAAATAGTATTAAGATAAGTTAGTGAGAAATGGAAAACTCTTCTTACACAGTGACGATGCAAACTCGTGCTATGCACAAATATTGGAGTTCACATGGGAATAATAATCTGAATGATGAACTAAAATTCTATTTATATATTTATGAATATTAAATAGATAAATTTTGATTGTGATTGTACAAACGTTTATATTTTCATTATGTATACAATGAAAATATAGTATACACACATACATATATATTAAACGTTATTAATACTATTAAGTATCTATAATTTATATCTATAAATTTCTTATTTGATTGCGATATAATACAATACAGTGTCATGTATTAACATTACACGCTGTTCATTCCGTTAGTAAGAGTAGACCGCTTTAATACCTTAGATCATTAAAACACTATTTACAATACAAGTGTTAATGAATGTAAGGTGTTGTGACTTATTGTATTTATTGAATTCACATATTTTCTCATGTTGAGCTCACCGTCCTTGTGTCGATATTGTGACTCACTATATGTATATTGTATGATGTATCTATTTGCGTTGGTGGAATAGTTATTTGTCCTATTAAGGCAGAACTAAATGTGGATGTTAATTCTTATCGAACAACATACATATTAATTTTATTAAATAATGGTTTTAAAGTACATGTAAGCGTAAAGTTGTTAAGAGGGGAACAAGTATGTATAGCCATTGTAAACTTTCTCCTCGAAAAGTTATAAAATGAAAATAATATGAATACTGATTTAGTTTTTATACATTATATTATTATTGTATTAAAAGATTCAGACCTGTGTCTATATAAGTGTACGGTCTTGTGTTTATCCTTCGTTTTTCCTGTGCAATCACAGTCGTAACATTTAAAATATGTACTATAGAAATAAATATATTGTATTAAAATTTATAAACTAAAGTTCACCTTAATTTATAACGGACTTCACTTATAATCACTTTCAATTATTGCATGTAACTAACACTATATCACAGATATTCATTTGACCAACTTTATTCCGTGTCGGAGCCGCACGCGCAGCCCACAGCTGTTACTTGGAAGACTGCGTGAACCGTATAGCGGAGGCGCTTACGCAGCGGTGGGGCGCAGTGAAGCCTTGCAAAAACATAGCGTCACTCACTGCACCCACTACATATATCCAGGAAACTAACAAAATTCGAAGATACACTCTCCGATATAGCATACGCTTTAAAATTTAAATAAATCCACAAAAATTTGTTAGTAACAAAATTTATAATCAATTGACCTACCTACCTGCAATATTAAAAATGAAAGATCGATAAGATTAATTAAGATATGATATTTCTAATTAACATCTTTATTTGCGTACCACTTGCATTACATTTATGTATTTATAATTAAATAAAATAATAACGGTGGTTTCTAGAAACTTACTAGTATTTATCTGCAATGTTTGAAATTCTACATAACGTAACCAAGAACAAGTTCTGCACGATGCAGTACAAAAGCTAGCCATCAGCGACTATTATTATGAACGGTACTCGTTCATGTTTTATTTGTTCCATTCATATATTTTATTTGCAAATATAATGTGTCCTTTATAGACGCTAACGTCATGTCAGTGTTGTGTCGATTTGAAAACCAGTTTGAGATTGAAAAAACATAATAAAACTGGTCCTCCTCCGCAATGTTTCCTAATTTTATATTTTGTTTTGCAATTGTTTTGACCTTTTTGTATTCATAAATGGAAACCAAATCCATTTAAGTAAGATTTGTGACTTTTTTCACTAATTAGAATTTAAATTACTAATAGGGGAAGCAATTAAGTGTACCAAAATAGAGTTGAGTGTAATTAATTATACTGAAGATGCATTTTTTATATCGTTAAACTGAATTATAAAATTTTTAACAGTCATCTGTTAAAATACCGCTAGATTTAAGAAAGTACCAATTAAATGCGTTAATTGTTCATGTTTAATCGAGTATCTTAGTAATATTATTTAAAAGATATTGTTATAATTGGAAAAGTAAAAAATTGTCATGGTTTTATAATATGTGGTTGAAATTTTTTATTGGAAATAAAAGTCATAGTGAAAAACAATTTTATTCTGCTAGAAATGAGTCTATGGGACAGTCATGGCTGTGTGGACTATTATTTGGAGATGTTATTCTTGCTTGTGCATCGTTGTCATTATTGTGTAGTTCCGATGCTAAAATTGCGTTATCAGATAAGGCTTTAGCCAAAGTTTTCTGGAGACGAGCTGTATCATTCCTCTCAGCTTCCAAAGCGGCTTTTAACTCTGAGATGGTTTCTTCGAAATCGTATTTATTAGCTTTTATTTCTTCTTGCTTACACAATTGACCTTCCAGTTCAACTACTACAGTTGTCAAGCGCGCTATTTCGGCTACAAAATATTGAATTATATTATAAAACTACTTAGTGTTTTTTGTGGAAAGCATTAAATTCATAAGATATTTTAATGTCTTAATTAAGAAGATGCCTTTAGTTAGTTGAATGAAAAATAATGGAATGTGAAAGGCGATAACCCTAACAATATTAATAGATCTTCTCACTAAAATGGACAAGAAAATGCACTTAAAAGCTTACTTAGTTTGAGAAGTCATGAATAGAATTAATTTTAAATTCATGTTTTAGAGCACTATAGTTTTTTTTGTTAAATATGCTAAATTATCTCTGATAATCGCATGCCCATATGTGTATTTCGTAGTAATGTCGCTAGGGTTATCACCATCCCTCAATTTCCAGGTATTATATTATTTATTAATAATCGCACCCCTAGCGTGTTGTAATTCTCTCATAGTGTGTTTCATTTCGTCCATCGCCAGTCTTTTGTCCCTAGCGTGAGCGGCGGCGGCGAGACGAGCTCGTTCTCGAACCTCGGACCCGCCGCCGGCACAACGAGACACACGATGCAGTTCACTCTCAAGGGACCGAGCCTCACTTGGACATAACACGTTTGTTTGTATGTACGATCCCTAGTAAGCATGTGTTTGTGTGTGTGTGTGTGTGTGTGTGTGTGTGTGTGTGTGTGTGTGTGTATGTGTGTGTACGGCCTCAGATATACAGATATTTTCAAAGGATAAGAACTTAAATGGAAATCCTCAACTACGTATATGTATGACGATAACAAGCCGCTATCAAGATTCCGACTATGTAGCAGTAAATAAACTATAGAGCTTAGAAAAAATTAATCTATTTTATAAACAATTCGTTAGGAAAATTCGTTAGGGTATATATAAAAATATAACAATATAAAAAGTGAAATATGTAAGTGTGGGAAACTCTTTTTCCTAAATTTATAAAGTTTACAGAGTTGTTCTCAAATTACTTTTTCTACATAAATAAGTTATAGAAAATTATGTATATGTTCAGTTTATTTCTCTTAATCTTACTATTTCTTATTAAAAGGTAAAGTCACTAATATATTAATTACTTTATAATATTTTTCATAAAACCCGTATTATAAGTTTAATAATATTAATATATACTTGTCAGCATCCTCGGTCGCTTTCTGTATTCGTTTCTGTAATTCAACAAACTGTTGCTGTAATGTCTTGTAACTTGTTTGTAATGGTCTCAATTGTTCTAATTCTGTCTTCATTTCGTTCAACTTATTATTAAGTTCAATACAATTTTCTTCAAAAAGTGTTCGCTGACGGTCCTGTATCAACAGGAATGATGTTAGCTTTTTTATTCCGCGAATAATTTTAAAAGTCGTTCGCACTGAATGCAAATTATATGACGTATAGAATATAAAATCAGAATCAAGAATTTTTTTGGTTGAATTTTGTTGAATGAAAAATTATATATAAAGATAATAAAATATATGACATCGTAAATTAAAATCTAATAGTTAGTTTAAGCGTTTTAAGAGTATAAATGAAAATCCTTTTTTTTGTCCCTTTGCAAAAACTATGGAAGATGAGATCTAAGAGTTACTCGACTTTTACTCATTTAGTTAAAACTAATATTTTCCGATATACTACGAGTGCTTTATTTTTGTAAAGGGAGTATATAGTTTTTATATTATATTCGAAAAATATTTGTTACATTTAAACTATGGAAGATGAAATGTTGTACGTACAGCAAGTTCGTACTGCATTTTAATAGTGACCAGTTCATCTTGAGCTACCGCTAGGGCTTTAGATGCTTGTTCAGCGCCTACAGTAGCTGCGGCAGCGGAGGCCTGGGACTCCGCTGAGGCACGCAATGCTGCATCTCTAGCTGCCTCCGCTGCTTCAGCACGAACAGCTTCAGCTCGAACAGCATTACGCAAATGACTCTCAGTTGTCTTAAATATAATTTAAATATTGAGAGTAGAAATAACATTCAAAGGAGAATTTGATGACGCGATCCAAAAAGGATGAACTTTTTGTTTTATTCTTTTTATGACAAAACTTTACGATTTTAAAAAACGTATATATTTTTTTAATAAAGAACAGGTCGTTTAATAGTGAAATATCCATATTTTTTCCGAATATTGCAGATAATTCATTAATTGTATTTTGGTATCGTAATTATTGTTATTTAATGCAACTCTGATAACAGTTTCAAAATATTATATCAAACTTCAGAAGAGAATATTTGTTCTCAAATCACAAAGGATATAAATCTTTTGGTAAACAACCTGATTGTAATTAATACTAAGTGTTTTGTAAATTGATATCAAATATAATATTACTACATAACTCACCGACAAAGTTTGAAATTCACTTATTAATTCTGTAAATTGTTGTTCGAAACATTCAAAATCCATTAAAGATACCTCCATCTTATATGTTAATTAAATTCTTTTTACGATTCCAACCTAATATACTTTTTATGTACCTACTGCAAATGAGACGCTTTTTTTACAAATGCGCGCGAATTATTTTTTTTTATTTCCATTGGAGTTAAGGTTTTAATCATTCAGCCAGATTCTCAATATAAAAATAACTTAGCGAATATGACTACTAATGCTTTGCTTATTTTGATGGATGAGTAATATTATTGTGAAAATTGCTTTACAAAGAAAATACGTTTATATATTTAGAAAATTGTTTTATCCAGTTGGAAAAATATTAACTTAAAGATTTTTAACAAGATAAATTATGACTGTAGATGTAATTGAAATATGTCAATTATTATAACCATCAAAGATTGCGAAGGGAATATTAATAAGGAGCGTTGTTTTCTATCTACGGAGTTCAGTATAAAAACCGTAGAGAATATTGAAAAAGTTCACTTTGAAGGGAGCAGCTAAGCGGCTGGTAAGTAACGGTACATAAGGATAACAAATATCTATTTTATTTTTAGAATTTTTTCTGTTAATAATAATTTTATTAAAAAGTATTGGTATACACCTATATTAGATCTTCTTCTTCTACCTGGCAATTTCGGAGATTTAGCCAGGGTCTGCCTTAGATGTTGTGTTTTTACTACCGGCCGCCTGTCTGACATCAACCCTCTTTTAATACACCTATATTAGATATTTTTATAAAATATTTTACTTGAACGGGAAACATATTGTGAAATATTCAATGTTTTTAATACACATTATACTAAAATTTACCCGTGACTCCGCCCGTGTTTTGATCATCATGCTAGGAAATACTAATTTAATTGTGTTGTACATTTTAATACGAAATCTCACAAAAATTGTTACTAAGTTAAGTGGTACAAAATCATATATTTAGTATGGATTAAATTAGGTCTAATATAATTTCAATTTTCGTCATTCGAATCGAGTTTAATTTTTATATACAACCTTTTTTGTTTTTCAGATAAACATAAAAATGCGGCCAGGTACAATATTGCTTTTAGCCCTAACAGTGGCGGTCGCTTTGACGACACAGTATTGTGAGTGTGCGAGGTTGCGTGGTCTCTCACTAACTGAGGAGGATGATGAATTTCAACCGAGGCGTTTCTATCGGGAGTTCGGACTAATAAGGAAACGTCCATCGCGTGGATACGACGAATTCGATGACTACGGACATTTGAGATTCGGCCGCTCTGACAAGTAAAAAATATATAGACCACAAATGTGTATTTAGTTGATTTAAGAGATATCTATGGCTGGTATGATATTTCTTGTTTATCTTTACATTTAAAAAGTATCCAAGCTCTAATTCAATTAAATAAAAGTAACCGTTTGATTGAATTTTATCGCTTTTTTAATTATTTAATTCCTATATGACCTAACATCTCGAAACACAGAGCTATAGTCAAAATGGCCTTGAAATTCAAATATGGAACAACGTCTTTATAATGCAATGTAATTTTTCAATTGTTTTATTTGAGTTCAAACACGTTCTATATATAAATGGCTAATTTAAGATATAATCAAGAAAGTGAGGGATAAAAATATTGCTTATGAAAATTTATTTTATTCTGATCTTTTTCACATTTAATTTTCAATTTGTTATTTCAATATAAAACGTTGTTAGGAACTTGTTCCATTTAAATCCATCCACATAATTCGTCTTAAAATAGTCAGAATTTTTTATAATATTTTTTTCATTAATACCACATAAATAGTACCAAAAAGTAAAACAAATTTTAATTTTATTTCATTTATTTTAACCAATAAATATATAACAGTTATTTATGACGTAAAATTAATTATAGTCTACATATAACTGGGTACACATTATGATTTAAAGATAAATATTTCGAATTTCAATTAAACCTACATTATAACATCACTGGTAAGGCATTTTTATAGCTTTAATATAAAATAATTACCACACGTATAATAAGCTTATATATTAGTTTTTTTTTATGTAAATAATAATTTGCGTGTACATTTAATTGCATCTATGTGTATCTAGAACATTGATTCTTCTACAACAATATTGTACTCATTCTATGTATTTCGTTGTACTTAATTATTTATGTAATTGTATATGTTTCTTATTAAATAATTAATTTCTTAACATTGAAAATTAGGCACGCACATCTAATCTATATTAAATTAATAATGAGACTAGTTAGTTTTCTAAGCTAAATTATTTATTTTAATATATATATATTTATGTTATTTATGTTGTATATAAACGTACATTGTACTTGGTAAGTATGAAGCGTACATAATCTTTGAAATAAAATAACTTAAATATAATTTTCATAATGAATTAATTTCATAATATTATTGGAAATATATATTATGTTATTTATATATAAAGAAAACATGTGACAATGTAAAGTATGTGATTCTGTCATATAATGTTAGTTGTTATACATTAACACTTCTCATATTATATCCTGTTTCTGAGTGTTACCGAGTAATGCCTGAAAAGAAAAAATAAATTTTATAATAATTATTTTATTGAAGTCATCAGAATTTCATAATATATTAGAAGAAAACAACTGTTTTAAGATATAGTTCCATATATATTTCTTAACTTATGTTTATTGGAACCAATTTGCAAGGTACAGAACGCAATCTTACCTTGTTTACGAAGTTGACAATAGCAGTGGCTGGCTGTTCTGGTTCCAACTCAGCGAACACGTGACACTGGTTGTCAGCTCCTGAAGAGGCTCGAGCGACGAAGGCGAAGATACGTCTGGAAATAAGATTATTGATTGTAAATAAAAATTATACTAGGATATATGAATAAGACCAGAGATATGTTTTTTAATGGCCAGTAATAGTATTCGTTTTTAAAGATAGTAATAAAAACTTTTTCGTTTTCGAAATCTCTTAACTAATATACATATAAGGAAGAATTTTGTGTTATTCTGTATTTATTACATAAATGATTGTCAAGCTGTAGTTAAACCAAAATATTAAGATCCAGAGAAATGGTACGTAAATATTGCCAGAGACAGGATTCCCTATTAATTATAATAATAAAAACTTTTTCGTATTCCAAATCTCTTAATTAATACATATTTTAAAGTGCTAAGTAATACATATTCTGTCATTTCGTATTTCCTTCCATTATCTTCTATTAAGATGACATATAGTACTAACTTTTCGGTCTGGGTTCCATTATCCACGTATTTGTACCGACGCTCGTCAGGGTCTATACCGGCGTATGACACACCAGTAGCGGGATAGTGACGCCTGAAGAACAGTTTTCTGGCTGCATCTGTCAATGTGATACCCCCACCGAATACTTTGAAGTGAACCACGTGGGCTGGCGACTGTGAGAAATACATAGAAATAAGTATGGCTCTAATTGGTATAGGTACTGTAAAAAAAAATATTAATGAATGATACAAGCTTTGGTTTGTTTGATTAAAATAGTACTGAATGAGATAAGTTATTTTTCTTCCAAATAGAATAATGAGATCTAAGACTTTAGTATTCATTCAAATGAAACATATATTTTTCGGATATACTACGCGTGCTTTATTTTTTTTACCTACTCCCGACGTTTCGGTTATTTTTCAGCAACTGTGATCAGAAAAATATTAGTTTCATCCAAATAGGAGTTAACTAGTAGTATTTTCTATTACCTTTTTCTGCAATATGTTCTGTACAGCTCGTTTGACAGCGGCAGGTCCAGTGAGGGCTTCAGTGTTTTCAGAGCCCAGTAGTAACACGTTGCAGGCCGCACCCGTTGCTAACAACGCACGCGCCGCTGCACTCGCACCGCCAGTCCATGGGTCCCTAATATAAATAATAACAGAAGAAAATTGAGAAACATTCGTATCCCTGCTTATCTTTATTATAACTCTACTAAGTCCTATATAACACTTTGTACGAGTTAAAAGTCTTGTTTATTTCTTTGGTAGACACTTGATTGAAACTAGTATTAATCATTAAGCAAAAATTTAAGACTAGATCTCACCTGTCAGGCAGTTTAAGCGGCACAGGCAGGGCGAGTGGTGTAACAGTGTGTTGATATACAAGCGCTGATAGTGATCCGAATACAGGCTCATCGGGACATCCTCGCAGTCGGACTCCTCGAGCTGTGGGCTCGATGAGGAAGTGACGCACACCCGTCCCCGCACGGACAGCTAGACCGAAGGCGCCGGGGAATGAGTTGGAATCACGCACTATAAACGCTCCTTCGTCAAGCTGTTGGAGGGCTGTCACCGCTGGAATGATAAAAATATATTAAGTTCTGTCGCTTTCATCTTTCATTTAGTGCCCATTAAGTCATAAAAATCACTTACCGTCATCTCTAGATATATTGGGCTTGTACCAGTAGTGACTGGTATCTCTTGCAAATCGTACACGATCAGGCGCTACGTGCTGGGGCTCGGCTCCGCCGCTTACACTTGATCGTCGTGATCCGACGCTCCCATTGTATGTGCGATATTCCGACTCCGGGCTTCCTTCACGTTCTTTTCTGAAAAAAAGACATAAATTGGTCAGAAGAATTCGCGACTTCAACTGTTTCGTATCATTCCTCAAATATTAGTCATAACAAAGCAATAAATGTATTACGAAATAGAAACATTTGCTGTGCTTACAGCATCTTGACATTTAGTTTTACGTATATACTGAGAAATTTAAAATAGCTATTCTAGCAATCTAAAATAGAAGGGAAAATAATATGAAAGCAAAAAAAAATTTGATACCTGGAGACTGTGGGTGATCTTGGTGGTCTAGCGGACAGCGAGGGTGTTGGTGTGGGAGGGTACGGTGTTCGAGGATGGGTTGGAAAAGCTGGTGTACCCGCGCGGGATTCGCTCCTAGACCAACTCTCTGTCCTTTCTCGACTCTGCAGGAATAATGTCTTTATACATTTTATTCTATAGCAGGAATAAACATTATACGCTGAAAGATTTATAAAATTTCTCGCAAATGAAATTGATTGTATTCTTCTAAGGGACATTAATATCAATTGAATAAATAGACGAAATAGCAAGGGATCGTATAACGATATGATTATTTCCCTTCTAGTTTCTGTAACAGTTACTAAGATTTCTTACAATGGTATCGTTGTTGTTCGGCTCTGCCAGCGACAGTAAACCAGGCGCTTGTGTACTCGTAGGTGTTGTGTTAGTACTCCACTCGCGCATCGTCATCTTTTCATACATGAATTTCCTAGATGAGGTCCTACAATCAATAAAATGCGTATATAATTTCACAAGTATCCACATAATTCACAAAATATGGAAATCTGGGCTCATTACGCCTACTAAATTATTATCCAAATATGGGTATTATGTATATATAGCATTTATTTACACTAATGAAATTCTTGTGGATAGTATGTTGTAAAAATCTTAGTATAATACCTGTCTGGAGCCTGAGGGCTGATGCTATCAGTTCTGTTAAGAGTACGTGTGTTGACGTGTAGGGGTACACTAAAGTCTTCGTCATCATCAGCAAACGCTGTAGTATCGCTAGTGTAACCGTCCACACTGAAATAAAATGATTCAATGAAGTGAAAATGTTCTAACAAAGCTTATATTAAGTTAGTTATTTTGATATATCTACCGATGGCTAGCTGATCTCCTCACGTGTCGGGAAGGCGCGTCCCACTCGAGCGGCAGTCGAGCGACTCTTTCCCTAGCTTCTTTTTTCTCTCTTAACTTCTGCTGTTGCCTTTGTAACCACGTGAGTCCGGAAGTTGCTTCAACATTATTGTTACCCTCAGATTTTCTCGGTTCTCTAAAACGATTGCTTTCGTGCCACCCTAAGGTACTGTGTGATCTCAGTGTCCCGTTCTCAATTGGAGTCTTCCTTGCGCTACTTGGAGGACGCTCTATCCATTCCGTATCACCATTGGCCCACCTGTCGTAGTAATTATAAAGTAACCAATTAATTTGTAAGAATTCATTAATTAATCCATATATAGAAAAGAGTAATTAAATTACTGTTTAAATATTTATAAAAGGTATAAATATATCTAGACCTTAATATATTATACATACATTGGAGTGATCTAGATTCTAGGGTATTTCAGTAATAATAATGTTTTGTTTTTTCATATCCGGTGGATAAGTTGTATGGTATGTTTGTAATACGAGTATCGTCTAATGTATAACATGTATATCCAGTGTATATCCAGTGACAAATAAACACTGTCAGTTGATGGTGTTACGAAGGATGATTCTGGGGCATCTAACAACGAAGCATTTATTAGAAAGTAAATGCGACAATATATGTTTACGAGTTCAGCGTCGCTGGTTTTAGAGTCGGGCTCCGTTTATGGCGCCGTTTATCTTGAAATAGCAACTTGTCCCGCGTCAACGTAATCACGGTCCATTATCACACTGATTCCAAATTGCGATTTTACAGAGCCGTCTGTTAGTAACGATCCGCTGACTTTGATTCTAAAGATTTGGAAGTAACAATATAATCTGTTGTGTAATGATTCTCTATAAGGAATTGTTATAATGAATACAATCATCAAATCAAATGATAGCCATCGAGATCTCAAGCTTTCATATTTCTTAAGCCATTAATGTCTAAGAAGCACTGTAATGAGGATACCATTAGAACACTTGGAATAAGTATCGGCTGTGTATAGTTTTAAGTTACTATTAAGTGCGGCGCCACATAAATAATTCACATAGTCTGTTTATGGTAGCAATTGAGTGAGCAATATTGCAGAACAGCTGACGCAAAACTGGAACCGACCAACGCCCAACACATCAATTAGATGTGAACAGAATTTCCGCTCAACTGTTTGCTTTTGATAATATCGTGATATAATTTTAACCAGAAAATGTTCCAATACTTTAATGGTATTCGATCGAAAACAAGTACCCCGGTGAGGTACGATTACCGCGTGGGTAGCGTCCCGTGGGCGATAATTGAATAACAACCTGTGATAACAATAAAACTGAACATTCTTTAAATGGAATTGTCCGTCACTGGATTGGAACAATTGTTTTTGGTACTGAGCAAGTACTAGTGGGAATTGCAATAGATAATATTTATCCGTGACCATCTCATTTCTCGTCTAACCGACACATTAGTCTAAGGATGCTAATCGTTTAAATTGTAAACGAACATATCATCATAACAGTATTCTGGACTTTTCTAGACGTATTACCCTCTTCTATTTCATACTTATAATTTCTACACTTCATAAGACTTTTATTTTTTATAATCTCGAGTTTGCAATAACTAAGCCAAGCAACGGAATATTAATGATTGTTTTAACTAAATAATTATATTGTATTTATACATAAACGAACACTGCTGAGTGAGAGGTTTTAAATAATAAATTATGATAAAGATAAACATAGTGTCCTACTGAGAATAAGTGACCGCCCATGAAGATATATTGATAATAAGTGCAGCAACGCCAGCAAATTACTGTTATTACCGCAATGAGGCCTCTGAATCTTTGTTTTGTCTCATGCAACAGTAATTTTGTAATCAATATCAATTGGAAACTTCAATTCAACAAATTGTAATAATTACTTATTACAATCTTTAGCTTATCGCTCATAAACTTAAATACATTGGCATTCATGTTTTAATGACTTGGCAATATAAAAAGGTCGTAAATATGTACTATTGTTGAAATTTAATACTAATTATTAAATTCAAAACAAGAAAAAAATTAACTAAACGATCGAATTGATAATAATTAAGTAAACAAAACCTGTGCATATACATAATACATACATAAGTTCTTATCTATATAAGTGTACATACTATAGGATCTCTCAACTCTTCACAAATTAACCTATTTCTTCCTACAGGTGTAGCGCATTCGTTTGATAAAGCGTTCGATAAAGTTGTCAATCACGTCTTGATAATGTGCTCGATAAAACATTATCTTAAATCGCCTACATTAATGATATATCGTAATTCGCAGGTACGCTTTGAATGAAAGCATAAAGTTAAAAGCTTTGCCATTTATAAAATATTTATTTTTATTGAATTAATTTACTAATCATCCTCATTTGAAGTTCCTACACGATGTAAGTAATAGAATCAATCACATATAATTCTAATAAAACATGCACCCAACATAATATCCCAGATTGGTAATGGGATATTTGATTACTCTTCTTCATTGACAGTGAAGTGGGTCGAGAGGAAAGCGGCTAAATAAATTAACCGAGCGTCCACAATTTTATTGCGTCGCGTGTCATGCTCCATGCAATGTCGAAACTGCTGGACGAAATATTATCTGCCTTTGTTTGTTCTCACGCCTCTAACGTCCAAGTTTGGTCAACGACATACAAATACCAATGTTACTTTAAAGTCAACTAACATATAACCATTCGATTTCGTATTTCAGAAACCTAGTTGTGAACCTAAAATGAGTAATTTCAATCTACATTACAGCCGTTTAATGGGAACGGAGAAACCTTGAGCTAAAAGCTGAGTTTTAATGTGCTATTGATTTGCTAAAAATACATATATTACAAGCTTTTTTTATGTAAACATTAGAAGTTTTTTGTGGGAGGCGGAATCGTGGCCTTTACTCCTACTACATAGGAACACATGTTTACAACTCCCACCAAATGCCCTTTTAATTATACAACCATCATTAATAACGCTATCTGTATTTGAACGCAAATGGATTTTTTATATTCCTTAACGTCAATCTTTCCATAGTGTCATGGTTATAACAAAAATATTCCGTTGAATTAATAGCTAATTTAGACTAAATTATATAAGGTCGCTTTCTTAGTTTAGAACTTGTTTTTTATGGTTTGTAATTGCTTGTCACAAAATGCAATAAGAAGTCAAATTTCGTATATTTTATGACTCTTTATGTCCTCTCCGGTTAGATCATGTAAATTTGGTTGTATAAATAAATTATTTAAAACGTGTTATTTTAGATTTACAATATCAAGATAAACATGTTATAATATAAAAAAGATATTATTATTTAAATTTGAAAAAATATAATAAAATTTAATGTACATATAAGAACGTTATAACAATATTAATCAAGTTATATAAATATGATCTTTAATACAATGAAATAACTCAATATAAGTTGTCAAATAAGTAACTCACCTTCCGTTACGTAGAGGCGAAGTCGGCGGAGGAATGCTTGTTGTAGTAGTAGTAGTAGTGACATTTTCATGACTAAATTTCCGTACTGTTCGTGGTGAGAGCGGGTTGCGAGGTGATGGTTCCGGGGTGAGGATGCGGTCGTCATCATCGTCTTCTATCCCCTTGTAGTTCCTGTCGGTGCCCAGAGCCCTCCGCACCAACTCAGGACTAGCGAGCCGGTTGGAGGCTCGCAGCATGCCGGGTCTCAGACCGGGAGCTCCGTACGTGAATGGGGCAGAGTCAGCGCGCGCGTGATACGGTATATCAGGAGCACGATCGGCGTGCGACTGCGCTGGCGGCGGATCGGGCAGCGCGCTCACCGTCCTCAACATGTCTCCAAGTAGCGCGTCCAGTTCATCGGGCGGACTGGGAGCAGCGCGGCGGCCCGCTGACGAAATGCCCGAGTCCATGGAGGCGCTGAGCGGAGAGGATGGGCCTCCGCTCGCTCGCACTACCGTCGCGTAGATGGACCCGTCGAGAGGTCCGAACGTATGGGCCGCCTCACCCCCCTCACCCGTCTCCCCGCCAGAGCCCGAACCCTCGGCGCTGCCGTTGTTATCACCTATTAACGAACAGCAAAATCGTAACATACAAAAATGAACAATTATAAGATTTCCATCGACATAGAAGAAGTTACGTTAATGATTTTGAATGGAAAGTAAACACGACTTTCATGTTAATGCGCTATTCATTAACTGTTTACTGCAAACATGAGTCGCAGTAGCAGTGGACCGGCTGGATAGATAGAACACATCCTTAAAAGGGCTAAGTTCGCTTCCCGTTACCCGTATCCCGGTCGTCACCGTTGTCTTACGGAACACATAGCTGTTATTATTAGCAAATATATTATAACTATGTATAAAATTTTAAAGTTACACTAAAATTAAAAAGCACTATTAAAAATATATATTTTCTAAACCATCTACATTATAATTCTATGTATAACACTATGATCCTGTATCATATATATGTATAATCTCATTGAAATGTCAATAGCGACATCGTATATCATAAGCTATATTTAAAGATGTCTCGCATAGATAACCTCGTTGTCAAACAGTTGAGAAGACACCATACAGAGGTTTGTCGTTCAAGGCAACTCCGGTAACGCCCAACAAGGAAGCGTCCTTATAACAAGTACGTTCAGTGTAATCTATTCACTGTAAATTGTTTATCGTTGACTATATCTAATATACATAATATTATATGTTTGCGTTTCTACTTCAAATTAATTTAAATAAATTATATATATAAAAATCAAGAAAATAGAATGTTCATATTATATATCGTATAGTCAAATTAATTATAGTTATAACGGGGTGAAGAGATAATAAAATTGTGACAATAAATTATAGAAAATAAAAATTTAAACGTTTTTTAATATCAACATAGCGTAAAAACAATATTCAAATGAGGGAGAGAGACGAATCTTATTTGCATAATGAGTATCTCAATCGCCACAAAGTATTTCAAAGCTCCGAGATATTTTAGTTTCTACTCCGACTGAGGTCATGTGTATACGTTTTGGCATCTGACAGTCATTGGTGTTACAGAATACAACTAAATGTGATATCAATAACGCAATTAGCGTAAAGTTATCAACGACGCGGCGACCGTCTTAAGATGAGAATGATGCGGTTATTTCTGTTATGACAACAAAAATAACACAAGCAAGCGCCGGAGAAGGCTACTCTTACGAAATACTGGCCCAGGAAGAGGATGTGCGGACGAGACGCTCTTCCTAACATCTAAGAAATATTTAACTCTAATGACTAAAATATTTTCCATATTCATTAAACACAGTCACCGCAACAATACTTTTATTCTCAATATGCTAATCTTTAAGTGATGTTATTAAAATGTCACTATGTATTTAACTCTGAATAATTCATTTATAATATGTCGATAGAATTATTAAAGCAATTGCGGAGCGAGGAGAATACATTATGGCATAATACAGTCAACACAGTATATAGTGCAAAGTATAAGACTAAGTTATGAGGGGCACGGAGTAATACAATTTGACGTTACCATAACAAATGACGTGTCACAGGGGTCATGACAGTATGACAAGCTAAAATTACCAGTTAATTAAAATTAGCGTGATCAATGCATTCGAACCATTTCGTCTATTCACGTCTTAATTAATTAAATATTCACGAATTTCTTTCATTTTATGTTACAGATTTCAAATTGATAAAAATTATACTACATTTGTTATTCGGAACAGGATTCTTTTATTTGTAATTCATTTGAGAGTTCTTAGAACATTTGGCTGTTTATATTCCAAGTTGGAACTGGCAATAAATATGTACATGTATGAAATTCCGTGGTTAGTCGTATGAAGGTGAACTCGTGGCCGCTGGCTCCCAGTGATGTCATCGAGCCGCTACACCTTATGATTCTACGAAATACAAATCTCTAAGCTCTTATTACTTAATATTATCCCACACTCTTGTATCCGTTGGCCGAACTTTGAGGTTGTAACCGGTTTTTGTCTTTATTTTTGCGAAGTTTTTGCATATCTCCGAAATTTATGACTTTCATCTCACGATCGGTAATTTATAACGACATTTTGGAATTGATGCTTGTTTTTTTTAGTACATTTATTTGTTATTTTAGGTGTTGTTTTAATTTTTTTTATTATAGTCTCGTAATTTCATTATGTTCAAAAATGTCATATATACCTAACGTTTCAAATTTCTAGTAAGCACTTTTATACTTTCTTATTTAATCTCAAGATATAAACGTCAACAATAAACAAATGTAAGTCATAATACACAACTATGATCAATAAGTGTGTTATCAATTGCAAAATGTAGATCAGATTATTGTTTTCGCTTACCACAGTCATCGAAAACAGCCATTGCACCTATCAGTCACTGAACTCATCACTCAAAACATGATCACTATATTTTTGATCCCAATTAATTTCTTTTATTTATATTTAGTACAATATTATTTAATGAAATATAAGAAAATACGACCACAACGCGTGTGGAAATCGCTAAACCGGCAAAAGAACTGCACTCAAAGTTGCTTGAGGTTCAATGAGACCAACATCAGTTTTCCGAGTTTTTTTAACGTATCACTTTACACCTTAAGTGATAATAAACTATCCACATCTTCTTTAGTACTATAAATAACGTTTTTGTTTTATACAAAATTATATATTACGACAAATAAACTATTTTTCCTACAATACAAACATTTATAATATAAGCAAGATCCGATATGCTTAAAGTGAATAATGGAAAACAGGTTGTTTGCGGATGAAATAAAATATGCAAGCGTAAATAAATTCATTTAATCTACCATTAAAGGAAGTCCCATAACCGGAATAAAAGTAAATACTCGTTGAGAACTTCATTGAAAATTTTAACATATAATTAAATACGATTTCCTTTCACAGTTTGCGTTAAAAATGTTTTTTTGATACATTTAATTACACGTTTACAGTCTTCGTCAATATAATGTATGTTTTAGTTGATATGGTTTAAGAATATTATCTTTTATTTCAAGTTGGAGTGACATATTAACTCCTAATGACGTAGGGTAAGGGACGGATGAGACATCCATCAGTGATTCGGTTCGGTGGTCAATTAGGCGCCCGCGCAGTTCTTATAATTCCATACAAATAACATGACCCGTAACCAAAGCCCTTGTCCGAGTGAAAGATACTATTGTACGGCGGAACAAATCCAATTATTACTTTCGTCTTTCAAAACCGATTGTGCGTTTATTTTGACGTTAATAACATTTGGAATAACATTGTTGTTACAAGGCTACTAAAATATTATCTCTAGAATGTACGTTATTCTAGTTCAAACATTTCTTCATTAACCGCATATTGTTAGCAAGGTCAAATAGATTTCAAAACACCACGATAATTTCACTTACCCTAAAATCGCGATTGAAACTCGATTTATAACAACACAAGTTCACAATTTGATTACTAGTTGATTTTAATTAATAAAGTTACGTATTCCGTTTAATAGAAGCATGTTATAAGCGTGATGCTCGCTCGTCTCTCTTTCTGATACTGGGCGGGCGGAGTTTGGACGGACATATGAACTAAAATAACTTCGCACCTGCAACGCACCGCTAGCTTTGTCAACTAATGAATTGTCGCTATATACTAAATAAATGTAGGGCACGACTCTATTAGTTGAATCATAGATAAGAAATAAACAAAAATAATGTTTAAATAAAACGTCTAAATATAATTACATATATGATATTTAGACATATTAAATATACCGAAGTATACTTTTGTTTTGACAGTTTTAATAATATAGTGTCACTTTATATGAATGTGTTTAAAGATAATAATGAATTTGACATAAGTATTAATGTATTATACCTAATATTACAATATTTCACCTATTCCTTACATGTGGAGTTCCTATACTAGGTTTAATGACTTACGCCCTCGCCGAAATAAACACCAAATAACGGATGTTGGGATAATAAAATGTCGCTGCAGTACCATATGTACAAATATAGTGTACAAAATTATAATTAGACCAGTTAATACGTGTTAGCTAATACAGAAATGTTTAGATGATATATTTCAACAGTAAATCAAACTTATTAACACTTGAAAATAGTGCATCTCTCACAACAATTCATGAAAACTTAGTTTAAACGAGGTTGCAGATATGAGTAGGTTTTCATATATTTTGTTAAGAAACCAATAGTTTAATTTCTATAAATTCTCTTCCATGAATACTATTAACAATCTTAATTGTATATAAGCATTATGCAAATATTGAAATGACATATAATAGACTATAAGGATAGACATTTAAATTCATGATTATTTAATTATAGATAGAAACCATAGTTCATCTTCTATATATATAAAAATGGATTGCTGTTCCTTAGTCTCGCTAAAACTCGAGAACGGCTGAACGGATTTGGCTAATTTTAGTCTTGAAATACTCCTGGAAGTCCAGGGAAGGTATAAAAGGTGAGAAAAATTGATTCATTACTGGGAAAACCATAAAAACAGCCCTTTTCTATTTCCCATACAAAAGTTTTTTTTGACATTAGATTTGACAACTAACAAATATGTCAATTCTGTTTGATTGAAACAGAAAAAACCTGATTATTTATGGCCTCTAAGACGGAATAGAGTTCGACTGGTCAGCTATACCTACATATATTACTCTTGACCAAACTAACGCGGACGAAGTCGCGGGCAAAAACTAGTGTTTTATATAAGTGATCATTATGACCAACACTTTAACAACCTTATAAAGTCCAAGTGAAGTAAGGTTATATTATATTAATATAAGATTATATGCCAAGATTATGTTTGTTAATTAATTTTCATGCTGGAACTATAATCAGTTTCATTTAAATAGAAATATTTAGATAGAAATATTAAGTCGTATCCATTTCATGCAAATAAAACAATAGTAAAGCTTTTTCTCTTCATAACACACGTATCATCTCTTAGGGGAAAGTTCAATATATGTAAGACTGAACAAATATTCAAATTCAACATCAGCCTTGAAATCTCTTTTATTAGACTTTTTTGTGACACGACGGTTTTTGGTCTGTACGAAACATTTTCACTATTAGTTTCTAAACGTCTGCATGTACTATAATATATATTATATAAAATCTAGCTAGATTTGTTCCTACTAGATCTTGCTAGACGTTTGTGGCTACAAAATATAAAACTTATATTTTAAATACCTGTATCATCATCAGTGATTGTAGATAGTGGTCGAAGATGCTCTAGAGAGTCAGCTCTTGCGAGAGCGTCAGGAGCAGCTCTGAGGGGGGCGGCGGGGGTCGGGGCGGGGGCAGCGCCTGATGAACCTTCACCTCGAGCAAAGATTAACTCCACCGCACCGTCCGATGGAAATGATGGGTCTAAGGAATAGAGGATATATGGTACACATGATCTATAAGGCTGATAGTAGTACTACTAATAGTAAGGACCTAATGTGTATAGCAGACCGCTACGTACAAAATCTGTATGATTAGGGAGTAATCTAGAATGTATACAGATAAGAAGTGCTTTTCTTCGTGCCATTACAGTATTAAAGGGAGATCAATGTAGAAGGTAATAAAATACTGTATTACAGAGGAGAGTGGATCAATATAGATTTAAGAAGCGCATACATTATAATTGTTCTATATTCATAAGACAAAATGAAATATGAAGACAAAAACAGGTGATGCGGGAGAAGTGCAAAGATTACCGTGCACAGCGTGGTCAAGTTGTTGCTTAGTGAAGGATAATGTGTGGTCAGCGACAGCGCACGTGTGGAACTGACAGGCGAACACCAGGTGTCTCTGTGTGTGTGTGTTCGTGTGAGCTGGCCGGCGGTACGCTCGCACGAGCACGTCGCCGCGGAGAGCCAGCCGACCGACACCCACCGTCCAGCCACCACCATTCACCATGTACAGACCTGTGGAAGAATAGATATTATAAAGACTATTTTTAAACACACCCAGACAACAATGAGGTCTAAGGTTTTCGTGAGTATTCGTTGAAATAAAACTGATATTTTTGGGATTTACTACGCGTTTATAATTATTTTTAACGTCGGGCCGTTTCGGTTACATTGCAGCAATCGTGATCACTATTGATCAATCAATCGATCATTCCGAAAAATAATCGTTTTTCAGACCCATACAAAACGTATCCTTGACATAAACACGAAATTCTTATTGTATGTGTAGTTCAGCTGATGACTTTATGTGTGCTATGTCAAATATATCTTCGTTGTTGTTAAGAACTTGATTGATTTATCGGTAGTTAAAATTTCGTAACTGCTTGGAATTCCTGCCTCTTAACTAAGTAAGTAACACGTTCATTTTGTATTTATATTCTATGGTTAAGAAGCGACTTAGGAGTATCAGTATAGTGTGTACTACAAGAATTTATATATATAGTTGAAGATTGACGTACCAGATGTATAGACACAGGTGTAATTCTCATAGATCTTAAGGAAGGCGATGGTCGGAGTGGTTGGTGCTGCCAGGGAACCAGCAACGCTTACATGCGTCAGGTGCAGAGGAGCAGCGTTGACGCGAATCTGACCGGCGAGCAAACCCGCGAACGTATCTATGTATCTGTTGAAAAAAATATAAAAATTATAACACAAAAAGTATTGTAATCAAAATAAAATTACATTTCAAATCGAAGAAATGAATTTATAGAATTAAAAAATAAAATATGAAGCGTTTTGAAAAATAGTATGAATGAAGTCAAGTTTTCAAAAGAACATTTTCGCTACAAATTATATTGTATGTATATATTTTATTGCATTTACACTTAAGAAATAATAATGAAAACTCGTTGAATTATTACCGTTTGTTAGAAGGCAGGTGGAATATCGGTACTCTGTCGTCCAAATATCTTCTCATCGCATATCTATCTAATGCATGTTCCGGCGCCCCACAGATAGCTGAGTAGTGCATGTAAGCAGCCACAAGCACTCCAAGGCGTTCGCGGTTACCCCTGAAATTATAACATATATTAAAGTTACAGAGACAAACATTACCTGATTCATAATATTGAGCATGAAAAAACGAATGAAGTAATGAAAAAAAACAATATTAATTCAACTTCAACATAAACTACAAGATATAAGAGATTTCCTATTAGCAATTTGTATAAGAGACTATAAAATAATAAATACAAAAAACAAAAAAGGTAGTTGATATTTTTGTTTAAAAATATTGTTACTATAAACAGTATCACTAATAGAATGTGATAAAGAAATTGTATTAAGACATACCAAGCGAGTAATATAGCGACGTTCTTGGGATGAGCGGCGAGCCAGCTCTCGATGTGTTTGCAGGCGGCGCAGAGTCTCTCCAAAGGAGGCGCCAGGTCTCCCGGCCAGCCCAGGGACCGAGCTCGACCGAACACACCTCGAGCCACACGACCATCACCGCTAGCGTCACTGCCACTTACTTCGAATACCTTGAATTGATTTATAAATATATTTTTCGTTAAACTTCTACTATTCTACTTCCTCAACTTCGTTGTGTTGGATATAATTTTATTTTGATATTTTACATTAATATGAGGGTATACGTTTTATGACAACGAATTTCAAGATACCGTGATAATCTACTTTTATTAATACCACTGCACCCATCTTATATAACGGTTATAGAAAATTTAGATGTTAAACATACATATGGCAGTGAATATATTTTACTGTATTTCCGTCATTTCGACATTAACGTGTCCATTATCTAAATGAATGCTAACCATATAATGTTCTCCGTGTTTATTATTAAGCATGTGTGCGGCTTGAGCCTCTGCATGTGCGTCTCTATCAGGTAGATGTAGAGCCAGCATCCGCTCCGCAACGTAACACAGGTCTAACCTGCTCCCAGATCCACCTGGTCCAGGATAACTGACAGAACGAAGACCTTCCTGTAAACACAAATAATATATCATACAAAAATCAATATAAAATCTTATCTTATCCACACGTTTTCTATTAACGCATTTCAAATCAAACTGAAATGTACTCATAGATCTAATAACATTTCCCCTTTATTTGCTCCCACAAGTCGATATCTTCCACAATAACACTTAAACAAAAACATCACCAGGAGCGAAACCCTAAATGAAAGCTAGCGGCGGAACGGTAAACAGTAAAGCGTTGATTAACCAAAGTATGTTTATGAAAGATCAAACACATAAAACTGTAGGCGAAACATAACTCTAAGAAAGTGACAGTCGTATGCGTGGGCGCCCAACAAATGCATTGCCTCAACTTTATCACGAGGCTAATCCGATTATTTTCGCTGCAACATTTGGTTGTACGAGAGTTAAGCTGGTCGCTTTAATTAAAACTAATTTATGGCAAAGAAGAAATATAGAACCATACATTATAATCACTCATTCGTAACCGTGGCTCTGTTAAAGTGGTATTAAGTTTTGAATGGTTGAAACTCTAAAGACGCTAGAGCCAGATTTGATGACTTTATATTATTTTAAGAAAATATTATATTGCCCATTAAAATATAACTAAATGACTAAAATACAGAAGCTCTTCGCTGCATGACATTATTAATGATACTTTAGTTAATATGTCATAAAATTAATGACCGTCAAATACCAGTCATGACTATAAAACGATTTATTCCATTGCGTTCGTTCCAACTTATCAAATGTCTAATAAGGGACATGAGTACATTATATACACTTACATGTTCTCTTTCAAACGCTGCAGTCGCCGGAGTTGCTGGGGCGCTAACCGCTCGAGTCTGAAACAAAATATTTACAATTAATACCAAATTTTCCTCAGTGATATTATACCACTATTAAATGTTGATAATGCTTATACTGTGTGAATATTTAGGTGGTAATATCGTAAAGGTATATACATATGTAGAATCTACATATATAAAGTGCATGTATTCATTATTGACCATAAATTAATTATAATACAAAAATTTTACTGATACCTGCGGAAAAATCAAAAAAAAAAATGAAATTTAAGATTCACGATAAGATTCTGTCCAATATTCGTGATAAATGACGCCTCTGACCTAGGTGTGGCTAAGTGATTATATTCTGATACGATCCCATCCCGTAATCGATGTGCATTAAGAATTAAAATATTCCTTCGATTAATACGTTACAAAGTTAAAACTTGTCAAATATCTTTTCACCTCACGCTTCATCAATGTACAGTTAAATTGAAATCAATTACCTACATGTGCGTTAACTATCGACATACGAACACGCTATCTTTGACTTGTCATTTGAGATTTATCTTTAAAAGTAGTACTTCCTCAAACAGATAATCTAATTATAATCTTATCACTATTGAGATCGTTGGAATGCGATTTTCTACTTTCTCTGTACCCTTTCCATTTGTAAATATGACTTTTTCTAATATATAATAATAAATTACAATTTCAACAAAACAAAATTAGTTTGCTTATTAAAGTAATCAGTACAAATTTAAATCATAATAATGTAAAATATGTCGTCATTAGCATTTAAATTTGTCTAACAGTTATAATAGTTAAATTAAGATACCGGTTTTATTACATGTGGGGAGTAGGTGTTTTCTGATATATTAGGGTAATACTAATTCAAAGAATATGATTATTATATATAATAATCTTAATTAAAAAGCCTATAACAAAAAAATATGAGAATTTATTTTGTGATACCTAAAAACATGACCATGTTCATTTTTTTGTCTCTTATAGACGTAAGATTTATGTAATAAAAGATTTTCAAGATATCATATCTCAAGGATTTGTGTGAGTTTGTGTACTCATATAAAAATTAAATCTATTATAATATGATTATAAAGTTTTATAATTAATCACACCACGGTTCCATGCTTCGTTGTATGTGTTCGCGAGGGTCCCCGTTGTAAGTAGAAGGCCGCCCGCCACAATGCGAACGCTAGTCGATGGAGCGCCCTGGCTGCCTCCGAATCCTTCTTCACACGAGGTCTCATTTTAAAGTAAATTCACTTAACATTGACGTTATCAATATATTCAATTATCATATTGTAGTGTTTCTTTTCATCTCATTGCTTTAAATTTGTTTTAAGGAATGTAAAACTAATTTTTATAATACGTAATGTCTAAAAGTATTTGTCTTCTTTCGTAGCAATATTTTGAAAGGTTTCATTTTAAAATGAATATTCACTAAATATGTGTGCATACGAATTGTTCTTTGCGATGCAATTCAAAATTCTAAAAGAGCAAATCTAAAGAAAGGAAAGATTAAACAGCTGTTTATAAATTTGTCCGTAGTACAAGGAGACACACACACACGTGCCGGGAGTTGCGCTCCTGCATTGCGGCACCCCTGGCACTACACGACAGTGCATTGACAAATTAACCATTTCATACTAGTACAAAATTTTACATACATTTTAACACAGTGATGTAAGTTGAGAACGTTATGCTTATAAATTTGTTAAATGTTATAGCGTACGAAACGTCAAGGTACTAACGTTGTGTTGAGAAGTGAAAAGGGTGCGTTAAAAGTAACGGTTAATTACAGCCCTTCCATAACCCTGACCTTCCTAACGCTTAGGGTGAACAACCTTGAGGGTGTCTCGTCTAAAAGAAGTCACATGTATGGACATACACAATGTCGCCCGCTCGTTTCCTTTTTTTATTTTGATTACAGATGTTTTTGTTTGTTTTACTTTTTTTTATCTGACTGCACACCCCGCCCTTGCTCCTTGTCGCTTTGTGTTTATTCATATCATTAAAACTACGAACTTTACCGGTACTGCTAGTACTGCTTATATTTCATTTATCTGATTGCTAACTAAATAATAACTAGATATATCTTTATACATGATTATATAGAAACATTTAGCTGAACAATAATGAACTCCTCTATCTTATCTTGTATGACATAATCCTAGAGTAATCGCAATTATCTCCTCTTAATTTTCTCGTAGCCTTAATGATTTTTATTTACAATTTTCATACAAAAAATATGTCCAATAAGGAAAAATATGTAAATGTGTTTTTGATATATTTGTATAATGTTACTTAATATTTATTTCCATAAATGAATATTCCGAAAGCACTCAATAATGACGCAAAATTTTGACAATGTATAATTTCACTTCAATATAACACCGAACACCAAACATCTTAACTGTCACGCTAGTTATGAGATGTTCTCTAGTAGGATGTTTTAAATCGCGCGATGCTCTCGACGACGGGAGATGAACTGGCGCCTGCAGCATCTCGCCGCCGTCGCGACGCCGCGTTGCTAGGCAACGCGTTCCTCACTCTGCTGCAACCTCCGCCAGGTTTTGCAGGACTTATAATGATTTTCAATTGACCAATTTTTTTGTAGTTCCAAATTCAAATTTATAAAATTATATTTTTAAAACATTGCAATAATAATGTATAGTTAAAAGTATATCAACTATCAAATGTCCAATCATAACGCTTCTTTCAAGATAATCAAAGTAACCACGATATGGCGTGTATGCAAATATTTTTTACACTATAAAGTTATTAGTTCCAAAGCACGCTTTTTGATTTTCAGACGTTAACATTATAATTCAGTACAAAATCAGTAATTGGCGTAATATAATGATTCCGATTGAGTCGAGCCGCGCCGGGAATGCAGTGAACCGACATTTTTATTTTTATTCATTAATCTCCAGTCTGATTTACTTGCACATGTTTGGAATTAATGGCTTAGTTTTGAAACGTTTGGTGAATAACAACTTAATAATACATGCAGATATAAATATAGATACTTGAATTTATTTCGACTGGCGTGAGATAAAATTATTTAAATGAAGACCGAAAACGAGAAGAAAATACGAGTTCTCAATTGAATTGTGAAGATCAACATACTTAAGATCTGTTCTAATTCTGTTGTTTGATTGAATAATTATATCACAGATTATAGAAAATTCCGTAAAGGTGGCGAAGGCGGTGAGATACGATGCACATCCGTAAACAAACGCATCGACTACGTAACTTTACGTACAACGACTTCTAAATATAGTTACTGAATTACGCAACCAATATATTTGTAATTCCTTACACATCAAGATTTAGTTGTGGAAAACAGATTTTTATGTACATATCTTGAAGTGATCAAGAACTTTTTATTCATTAATAAGGAAAATTAAAAAAAAAAATTTTTTTTGAGCAATTGCATGTTCTTAAAAGCCCTAAAGAGATTACATGTTTGCTATTATATAATTCGTGAATAAAAATGAATAAATGTAATAATTTCAAATAATGTCTTTTGTCTGAAAAGAATTCTCAACAGCTCCTATAAGTTATAAAACTTTCACTGTTCTCATTATACTTTTCAACTTACGCTATCAATCAATCAAGTATTAAAGTTTGTAACCGAAAATCTCAACGGTTCAGTTTATTTTATTTTAAACACATATTTATTTATATAAGAGCTCGCGTTATTGTAGTAACATAACGAGCAATTTTATTTACATTACGAAAAAAAGAAAACGAAAATATTACTTATTTTAAGTGACATCATTACATCAATAGAGGAAATATATAATAAGCGTCAACTACAGTTATTTCATCAAATATTACACAGAAACGGTCAATTAGATTTGTAAAAATATGTCTCAAAGTAAACATAAAATCAAAAGCGTAACGACCGGCAACAGAACTATATATTAATATTTGTAGAAAGACGTCATATTTACATTAGCATCAGACAGCGCAAACGTTTTTAACAACGTCTGTTCTTTTTAACATATTCGAAGTGATTATCATCAATAAATATTTTACGAGTGAAAGAAAGCTGGTATCCGCGTATCGATTGATGTTTAGCAGTTTTTATGAAGCAAATATTTTAAGAAAAACAAACATTGGTTAGTCAAATTTTTTTCTTAAAAATTCAAATGTTTCTATGGCATAATTTTTGTATACGGTTTTGTGTATTCTCATAAATGGCAAGACATTCAGCGGCCGCGGGCTGCAGGGGTATCGCACGGGCTATCGTGAGAAAGGTTCGCGATTCGCTCCAAGCATCCCAAACACTTATCTAAGACTTTAACCAGACCCGCGGTATCTTTGATTGCCACTTACAGTTAAACTCGATTTATTTTAATCACACTCCATCCAAACCGTAACCAATGCTTTAATTAATCTGAAAAACTGTTGTTAAAGTTATTGTTCACACGTGTATTTGAATTGATGACATATTATATAAACATTATAAGAATATCGTAATCTTTATCAAAAATAAATGAACATAGTTAGTACGTAACCGATAATAATATGTGTACTGTGTAAGCATACCCATATGATATAAATAGTTTGTTGATCAAAATACTAGAAACGTGAACACGGCATGTTTATCGTTAGATCTGAGTGAAGGGGCGGTGCGATGCCTATTGTCTAAACGTCGATTTATATTTACGAAGACATCGAACCAACTATGTACGGACAGCGACAGTGACACCTGATGCGATCATTATCTAAATCAAACGGGTGGTCTCCTAAGAACTAATCTCTGATACTTAGCAACAATGGAAGAAATCTGATTAACAAGACATACATTTATATCACAATACATTTTTTACTATTTTAGTCGTAGTTACGCATGCGTAACTAAATTTGTTGAACGATTTATCTCTACCTACTTATCGCTGCGGTAAGTCATGCAAAACTATAAAACCACGTTTTATGTGTTTCCACGAACCAGCATCGAGATTCTCAAGTTTTGCTATTTAAGAATGACATCATACCACAATAAAACTTAAATCAAAGTATCTAATATATTATAACGTACATCTTTAAAATAGTAATTATATACACCAGGAAGGAGAATTTTATTTTCTTGTGTTTGCAGTATAAAATAACATAAAAAATATTTTTTAAATAAGTTACCATAATTGCTAGTGACCACACATAGCAGGTAACGCCTGAGAGTTGCGTCTTACTTAACTAATGATCTTTAAATTGAGGATAAACTACTAACATATTAGCACTATTATTTAATATATTTTTGATTGCATCATTTCTATTTGTGAATCTGCTCATGAGCATGTTCCTCCTCGCTCGACTGCAGAACCTTGAAGACCTTTTAAATTCCATACCACGCATTACTAACACTTGTTCCCCGGAATACGAGAATTCGGATTGCGCAATTTTTAAATCATGAAGCGGATATGTATATAGTGAAATTTGGATCGTATTTCATCACATCCGTGCTATAAATATGAAATACTAACAGTTACATTTTCACAAACGTTCAGTTATTTTAAAATAGGCCAAATAAAGCTAATTATAAAGCTAATACATTCTTATAAATACAAATAATTTTTTCTCTGTTTGAAAATGCCAGGTAATTGTATTTTTCACTAAATATGTTTGATGAACGAAATGCTTGAGATTTAATAAAAACATTATAGTATAAACATTATAGTATAAGGAATAATCCTTTTATACAGTACGTGTATGTGAAAGCCTTCATTTTAGAAGAAAGTGGAAATACAATTTAAATCAGCCTATAGTACGGTTTTAAGTTACAGTCAATAAATAAATGAAAATCTTTATTAGAAATCTAAATGTATGCGACCTTAATTTATTCCAAAGCTACTTAAACTGTCATTCGCAGATTGACCAATACGCAATACCTGAATGAGAATTTACATCTTAAAGGTTAAATTCCATTGTTGATACAATGTTTGTATTTTGACAAATAGCATAGGAGATATGTGAATGTGGAAATTCCTAATGTCGAAGTTATCGATAAAGAGGAAGGTTATTGTCATGAGTCACCCCAGCCCTCACTCAGCTCATGATTCCGGTCTGTAGGATTTGAATAGGCGTGCTAATCGACGCATTAGCAAGGAACTCATAGTGCCAACTACTGATACACTATTACTCCATTACAGCCGGAAAAGGGGCTTAAAGTTCGAATATACAAAAATAGAGAAGCAGTAGGTATAATATATTATTTTTAAAAGCAATGACTGTTAAATATTATTACATAATTCATTTATACATACGAAATAAGCAACAGAAATATTAATGATATTTAAGATTTTCGGGAGAACTCATTTAAATTAATCTAAGGTTATTATTTTATGAACTACAATCTTCGTAATCCCGATGTTTCGGTTCCTTTTCAACAACCGTGATCACTTACAGACGAGAGGAAAATTTCACTATTAATTTTAATATATTTTGAGTCACCTAAATGTGTTCAATATGTAAATACATTACTTTTTGCTTTTCATCTCTCATTTCCAATAATCCTCAAGAAACAGCTGATACAAACGTAGAAGTTGTTTGATATCCATAAATATTACAATATCTTCAGTCTTATTATTAAATAATATTAAAACACTGTATCTTATGTGTTCTGTCATTGTGAAGTAGGGGAACAAACGAATAATAATTTCATCAAAAGTTCATTGCCCCGGTGACGTAAATGTACTTTAAAAATTGATTAAACGTTGATGGGCTGTTAGCGAAGCATCTCTCAATTTTATTCATTAAAACTGAAGACTTTATCACATTATAAAGGTAAATTACTTTCAACGTATTGAATTATTATAATCTATACGTAAGAAACTACCCAATTTTTATGAAGTTTTACGATTTTTATAAAAGGTGAATTGTTTTAAAAGTACATAATGTATAGGCATAACGAACACCTCTTAATGAATAACAGGAATATTAAAATCAATTATATTTAAAATAATGCCCAGCAAAATATTTCGCAACCGTATTTTAATGAATACACGAGGTGGTCAGGCCAGTAACCCTTTACGAGTCGAGCAAAGCAATAGCGAAACAACAGGAATAGGTAACTTACAAATATACGCAAACCGTTGCCGGAACGGGCTTTATGATTTATAATCACCTCATGCAAATACATATATACTTCAACATAACTCAGCTTCTGCGTCATTTTATATGAAGGTATGTGTTTAATGTTAGGAACTGACGTTTGGACCCGATCATTTGATTCAATTTCCCTCCCACTACATTCCAATTATTATCGCATCCATCAATGTAACTAGCAATTTTCTTGTATAGATAAAGTAGGGTAACATGGTAATATTTTCAGATGGTCCCTAATTAGACGATGAATACAATGAAAAATAGTATCAATGAGATATACATGTGTGGGTTTTACCGTTATCTACATAGGTGGTATGACAACATATGAAAGTTTCTCGTTAGTGACAAAAATAATGTTGTTATTTTCAACAATCTTAAAACAACACAACAATCTGTTACATTCAATGTAACTACTACTATAGTAGTATTTTATGATTTAATTCTATGGCATCTTTAATGATGGTTAACACCGAGGTGTTGTGTTTACATATTGTATAAATTATGTTTGCACGTACCGTGATGGTGTCATAGATGCCATTCTGGTCGTTTCGTAAAGGTGAGGCGGTAGTTGCAGCGGAGGAGATTGTGGTGTCTTGTCGCATAGGCGGTGGCGATAGTCGGAGCGGATCGCCATTTCGACTCCATGTTCGATGAATCTGCCAGCTTGTGTCGGAAAATCTCGCTTTATCCTAGGTAAAAAGAATGTATAGATTAATCGTTTAATGTATAGTTTAATTATCAAATTATATTTCAATCTTATACTTGTAAACAATATACATAGTTATTTTGATACTCGTATTTTGCAGATTGTGTTGGTGAAAAAAGCAGGTAGCGTTTAATTAGACATTCCATTAGCATGTGGAGTGTGGACAATGTCACGATCTGTACAGAATGGAGCGAGACAAACTAAAACTTTCAGATCCGTGTCAAAATGATAATGAACCTCCTGGCAGTTGTGTTCTACAGTTTAGACACGCAATATTATTTCGGCCCCACCTACCAAACGATTTATGTTTTCGAATGTTCATGTAGGAAACGACTTTGTATATATTTTTTCATATAACTAGAATAACCTTAGATAAAAACATATCCCCGATGAGACTCGGTATCGATCAATGCTTCAAGGATCTTTACATCCCGATCACGTACATCCATCTAAGCTGGTCTTTTTGTATTGCAAGCCGCGATGCTCTATACAGGATACTGTTCATGCATAAACCTAAAAGGCGCTAGGCACGTTGCGGCCAGCTAACCTAATGGTATAGTTTGCGTACTAATCAGTTTATTCAGCCTCGAATTATTATCACAAACCACAAAATTCCAGTAAAGATTACGTAATCAACTCTATATTAAACAAAGATTACTTTTAATTTAATCGACGAATTGAAACGTTAAAGAAATTCATTTAATTCAAGATGACCTCAACCTTGCTTTGAGACAAGACACAGTAAACATGAAGTAACCAAAACATATCTTATAATTATGTAAATTACAATCGTATGTTTAAAATTAAATGTTCCTGTCTGTTATATATGTACGATTTTGACCTATTGACTTTTAAAACAAAGATATTTTTTACTGTACCCGAAGTATCTGCTATTTCATGCTATTAGATTATATGTTTTGAGTTTTGTATACAGTTATTATAAAATGATTGATTGACTAATATTAAAATAAAGATTATATAGAAAACAGCCCACGTGAATTGCTCCGAATTTTACCGTGAGCGTCAAATGTGGGCGCATTTCACATTTCATTATTACTTTCCACATGTATGGGCGAGAAGTAATAAAGCTATTCGTGCGTACAAATAGTGCAAGCACCATGACATTTGACACCTCCTTTGTAAGTTTGTTTTTTTTTTTCTACAAAGAGTCTAAAGTGTTAGTGAGAAATTCAAAACTCGCCGGCTAGACTGAGAAGTTGTTTTTTTTTTAATTTTATGACAAAATATATTTGCAGCTATAGGTTTCGTCTTATTCAACTTTCACTACCTACATTTTCTTTTTTTTTAATTTATAAGATATTAGTAACACTTTCGCATTTTAAAAAAGCGTTAATAAATAATCAAAATAAAATATAACTAACTTTATTTTTATATCCAAAGATGAAATAATGAAATCGTTAGCAAAATCCCTACGAACATTATAAATGCGAAAGTAACTCTGTCCGTCTGTCTGTCTATCTGTTACTCTTTCACGCCTAAACCACTGAACTGACTTTAATGAAATTTGGTACAGAGATAGAGTTCATCTTGAGAAAGAATATAGGATAGTTTTTATCCCAGACTTTTGAAAGGTTCTCTTATAAATGCGATATAACCGAACTCCACGCGGGCGAAGCTGCGGGCGGAAAGCTAGTTTTAAATAAATTCAAATTAAGAATATGGCTTGACTACCCGAATTGACTTTTAGTTGTAATTTCTAACTTTATCTTAATGTATAAATATTTCAATATATTTTATTTATATTATCTTTACAAAGGGCCTCATGAACGTTTCTTTCATATACAAGTCTAGTACTGATAGCTGTTATCGTGTAGCGTATAAAGCAGTGTACACAACTTGTGTAAACAGAGGCCAAGGACAATTGGAGCACGTATTAGCAATTGAGCCAGATATAACGAGCGATACATTATATGACATCCCTGGTCTTAATACTTCTGTTAGACTTAAAATATATTTAGACAAATGTAAGTCTATTTAGGTTGAGAATAATTTTAACGAGCAGAGTACAAATATAGATAACATTGAAGAACAATCAACTAGGTCCTAGTGTTTATAAACACTCATATCAGATAACACATCCATCAAGCTCTACACAAAGATATTTCTTGGAACATTTTCATCTTGCTATGACTAAGTCCCGTTCTGTACTAACTAAATCAAAATCTCGAATTAGAATAATTAACATAAATTTTATAAATAATTTTGAATCAGGAACTATACTGGACGTAAAACTGATTTGTTGCGTTTTAATTCACAACTTCCAGACATAACAAGGTCACGGTAATTCATTTGACCACGGACATGCTCGTGAGTTACGAGAAGTTTATTCGATTCAAGATTATTTTTTAAAAATCAAATGTCACGATATCCGAGTAATAAAAATACGAGTTCTTTAATACAGACTATTAATAAAAATGTAGAAGGACATTCAGCACCGGATTCCATTGTTTTTGCCTGTCATTGTTTCTTTGATGCTTGTAAGACAAAAAAATGTAGTTAAAAATAATAACAGAAATTATTTCTCATTTTAACTGGCTTGATGGCTGCCACATTCAGTTTATAGTCTTTGGAATAAAAAAAAATCATCTTATTATATTTTATGTAACTAACAATAGTATATATTTTTAAATATATATCTTGTTTGATATTTGGTTTACATGTGGAAACCAAATACGACAGTATAATATAGTCTATTAAAATGTATTATAATCTATATTTAATAAAATACTCAATTAATTGTCGTAATATAATTATCGTAATGATATAAACTACTAGTTTCTATGAATCTTAATATAAAAATAATATGTACTGCTTCGTATTTTATATTGTTTCAGTTAATTCTATCATATAATATAATTATCTTTAATCTTGTTTCGAATTGAACGTCATAACAATCTTAGGAACTCCGATATCAATAATGTTATAATTATATCGATTTGGTTAAAGTGTGATGAAGGTTGATTTTTGCAGATAATTACAGCCGTTTCATTTACAAATAAAAATCTATATAAATATAAATGTAATTTAAATGTAAGTACCACTGCATAATTCCGATCATAAACTTTGTTTTACACGTGCGATGGCCGTCTTAAAATACGTCTTAGCATACTCACTGTTTATTTGGTATGATTGTTTATTCTAATCTATTCAAGGACACGACTTAAAGACTTTTTTTATAAATATTGCGTTAATATTAAACAGATATAAAAAAAATAATAATAATTATGATTTTTGTCATAAAAATATATAAGTTATATTAATCTTTACCTCAATATCAATTCTCCAGCGTCTGTGATAAAGAGAGAGATAAAAAAAAGAATTTAATTCAAACTATGATTCGGATGTAATTTAACTCTACAAATAGATTCGCACACACTAACAGTACATGACCTTCATTTGATAAGATAACCTTGCCTTCCAATTCATTTCGCAAATCGTACACCGCTCCAGGAACTAGACCTTATGGACTAATCAGTACGTACCAAAAAAATTCTTACATCAGCTGTAATTGATACTGATAACATCGATTGTGACATTTTGTTTTGTAATTCGCCTTATCAGATATGAAATATTCATTAATCTATTCCAATATCTTACATAACTAGTTATCATTCTAGAAAATGTGTATGAGAATTCAACGACTATACTCAGATGTATGTATGTACCTCATGTTCAAAAGGATCATCTGAATGGGACGCTCGTCCGTGTTTATCTCCGGTAAAGGACAGCCTCCTCTTGAACAACTTCATCTTTGAAGCGCACTACCTCTTCATACAAATGGCGTAACTCATAACTTTAAAATTAAAATTTATTAAATATTTTAATATTGTGATCACTTAATAAAACCGCGATTATCTCAAAACATCGTGAAACTTTTTTCCCGCCATCTATCCGTTGTCACGTTGTTTCATTCTTGTACAGTGCGGCGGGATCGCGCGTTCGTCTCGCACTGTTCAATGTTCAGAGCTCACCGCAGCCGAGTTCACGCCAGTCACCTTCACGACGCCCCACACCCGCCCCCCATTTTAACACATCAATGAACACAAACAATCATTAACCCTTATTAAATGCTGAAAGCACTTTACATTGTCAGCACAGCTTTCCGACCGTTTTCATATGTATTTTCACGAACGTTTAATTAAATTCAAGTTATAAAGATATGTATTATCTTATCTTTGTTGCTTCACAAACATGCCGTCTTAGGTGAATTTTTTAATAGTAAATACGAATATAAACATCCGTTGTTATCATAAACATTGTTCCAAAATTAGAGTAATTGACGGTTCTGTCTTTGACATTAATGTATAGCCACGAGTGTGATTTGGAAAACAGACATAATTGTTATGTTTTTCTTTTCTTAGTCATGATGTGATTATTGTATGAAGGAAGCGTTTTGTTCCCTTCATACCAGTGATTAGCTAAGAGAAAGGGGACAATTTATCTTTTGTAAGTTACTTTCTGACAAATGGAAACACGTTTAAGGCTAAACGACTGTATAATAAATTGCATTGCACGTTTTAGGCAATTTCCAGACAAGTGGTATCTAGTCATTAGCGGCTGTACACTAAGCCTCTAGAACGGGTCTCTATCAATAACAGTCATTAATATTTCATACTAAATTACCTAATAAATTCAAATATATTTCAAAATGTCGCTGACGTCAATTAAGGGTTGATTTGATAACAATGTTTTGTACAACAATTTGACAATGAAATTTAATGCACTTATAAGAATAGAAGATGCTGTGTAATTCAAGAATGTCTTTAAACAAATACGCAAGCCCTGAGAGGTTTGCCGTGACATTTGTTGGATCATCGCAAATATTTCATTGTGACCAATACAGTGTTATTGATTGCTTCGTCTCGCTTCGTGTGCTCGAAGCATTCGTTACAATGATCACTTCGCGTCGCATTTATAAATGAATTGGAATTGATTACGTCTTTGGATCTCAATGCTCTTTACGTCTATAACAATGACATAAAACTGTTTGGTACAAGGATTTACGATATTTATATTGAATATCAACATTCTTATATTCAAATATTTAATGCTCAAAGCTATAAAGATTTAAGTGCTAATAAATATTTTGATAGAGCACGATGAATAAAAAAAGAACGTTTTCCATTTCATATTTTCAATAATATGCTATGGTAGATAAGCAAATACTTTATTGTTTACAGCCAGTAATATTGCCGAGAGGTTGTATTGTGAAGATGAAATCTATATACTGAATGTAAATATTAAATTACCACTTCATAAAGCTATAAAGGTATCTGGGCTAAGCGTGACTATATCTAAAATATCTTGGTTATATCTTGTGTAATTCCAAGCTATTGTTGTACGACAAACGGAACGTGAGTTCATAATGATATACGTTTAATATTCACCAAAATAATAGCTTAGAATAACTGAATGCCTTAGTACTATTAAATAACCAAAAACATGATTATAATGTCCTTAAATACTTGCGTGAGTTGTCAGTGTAAGCTTTAAAGTGGACAGGAAGAGAGTTGTATCTCTCGGAATGCAGTACAACCTCAGAATGGATCCGTTAATATTAGTTTAATGTTTAACACGTCTAAATCCTGACGCTTATTTCCTTTGGGAAACAAAAATTATAAATATTCCACGTATTTTGATACTTAACATTTACTTTATACTAACTTAAGTATGAAAAGGAATGTTTTATGTTAAATCTACCTTTGGGATATACCTACGTATTTTTTTTTACATTGAATATTATGTCCCTAAGTTATAAATATTTATGTTATCCATATTATTTAATATCACAAGTGAATCTATCCCGCAATAAAACTAGTCAAATTGGAATAAAAGCATAATAATAAACGACTACATCTATTAAGTAACTTTTTTATATACATACAATCCCATATGCGGGCCGTCTGTTAACATCTTATTCTTTACGATAATTTCCCATTGAATCTGACACAACAATGTAATTTCCTGCAGTAATGCAATGAATTATGCACAAACTTCCTACCAACTGTAAAATACTCTGAAACTCGAAGCAATTAACTTATGAAAGACCTTTAGGTTAAATAAATGGATGTATCGATTTAAATAGCTTTCGCGGTTACCAAAAAGTTTACTCTTATTGTCAAATTTAACTCTGATAAATTCTAGTATATATTTGCATGTATCTTGTGCGAAATTTTCTGTATATAGATAATGATGTAAACTTATTCTATGGATATTCGTAGTTCTTGTCAAGAACAATTAAATAATGAGATTAATAGTAACAATAAATATGAAAATATATAAAATATTGTTGCCATTTTTATATATTCGATTTTTCGTTTAGTTTATTGTATCGGACGTATCCAAGATATCTGATGTAAAGCGTCAGTGGTTGAAAATTGCTGGTTTCATGCAACTCCGCTTCGATTATGGTCATGGATGTGAACAAGAAAGCGGCACTTCTGACGCGGTGTCAAAATGCGGTCCGTGTACTGAATATCCAATTAATTTTATCATTATTTTAACGTGTGACTGCCTCTCGGCATCACTAACGCCTTTAAAACGTTCACAGAACAACAAGGTATACATATAAAATTATTCATATCCACACGTTTTAGGAAAATAAAGTATTATTCTTTCAATTTATTATAATAATACAAATCAAATAACTTGTCTTAATTGCTGGTAATAAATAAATGGGATAGGGTTGGAACGTTTTTTTTTATAATATGTGACCGCGCTAAAGGTTGTTTGGTATGAATCAAAATTCACAGTTTTTTACAAATGTAACTTTAAATTAAAACGATTATAAAAATATAACAAAGAAATAAGAAACTGTAAAACGCAGAAGCGTGTTCACAAAAATAGTAACTGATTGTTTTTTATTACTGTTTTAGCGATAACGTTGAGATTTAACTATTAAAAAAACATTATTTCTTTTATTTCCTCAAAGAACTATTAAGCATTATAGAGTGTATAAAGTGGTATTTTATAACTTACGGAATTCTGGAGTCGTGCTAGCAGTTCCGCTGAGTTGGCTGGGTCCGACAACTCGATAGCCCCGGACACCTAAAACAACAAACACACATATTGATCTTGTACATATTGACAAATGAACATAAAATGAAGAAATTCCTTCCTATTAATAATATAAATTATACACTAAAATACCTTATATAAAACAAAACTATAATAATAATTAAAATACCTCATTAAAGGTTTGCAAATAAACAAATATTTGTTATTCAGATATATAGTAAAAGTTATTACGAAAGAACAGTCTCATAACAAAAGTAGGTCAATAGGACCCAGGAGAGAGAGGCGACCGAGGAATACCTAAATTCCACTTTATATAGACAACAGACCTTTATAACTTTCATAATTGTATTACAGAATTTAAAGTTATAATTGCTATTATGTTCCAAGTTATTTAACCTAGTTATTTGTGATAATGAAAATTATAAAGTCATTGTAAACAAACCCTGGAATCTGGAATCAAGCCAACCAGGAGCGGTGGTAAGCTCCGGGCAATATATATTTTATAGGTGCTACATTTTAATAACTTCACTAGTGTCTAACTGACATCGAAGAATGTACCTTAAATCTTGATATTAATGTCTAAATTTGTAAAGAAATAGTTCTTGAAATAGATATGTATAAGAGGGAAAAATAAATTGAGCATATAAATATTACTTTACTACATTTAGATAGATCGCCGATTTCAGGATTTTATTTGATAGAGAATATTACATTCTAATCAGTGGTGGCTCAGTGGTCAAAGGGCCCGCCTCTCGGCCTCTCGTCGCCGAGGGCGCGGGTTCGATCCTGGCCCGGGCAAGTACCAATGTGATTTTTCCGAATCATATGTACTTTCTAAGAGTATTTAGACATCACTGATTAATGCTGATTCCCAAAAAAGGGTTGATGTCAGGCAGGCGGCCGGTCGTAAAAACAAATAGCCAAAAACTATTCTCAACATGTAAGGCAGACCCTGGCTATAGCTGGGAAATTGCCAGGTAGAAGAAGAAGAAGAAGAAGAGAATATTACATTCTACTATAGTTCTTTCACTACAAAATTTATAAATATATGATATTCTATAACCAAAATTGCTTAAAAACATATCCCTTTTTTACGTTTATAGGTATTTATATTAATCAATCGTATAAAAAGTACACTTTTACTTTGGACAAACTATATCACCTTTATGAAATATACAAATTTAGTACTGTAATAACAATATTATTACGATATACCTAAAAGATGTTTATATACTAAACGTATCCCAACTACCAAAGTTGGGACGTCTAAAGTGTATGGGATGTTCCTAAACAGGTTTAATGATTTAAGCATGAAGCCGTGAGGGTCTAGTCATTACAGCGTAATCTTAAGTTATTGTGTACCATGTCTTAGTACAGTCACTGTGTTCTATGGTTGGAGTTGTACTATATATGGATGCTAATTTTGTGAAAGCAACTTTAGCCATACAAAGGATAAGAAAAGTAGCGATGAGCTAAACTCAGGTAAGAATCATGAAGTTTACGTGATGGAAGACGTCGTTGGTTTTCTTTTAATAAAATAATATTTAAAGAAGACTTATATTAATATTAAACATACTTCAATTATGTTCAATTGATTTTTGCTCGCAAATATATGTTCGAATATTAATGACTTATAAAACAGTAATTTCTTTCAATAATTTCTCGTCTTCATAATTTATTGCTTTTATCAAATTTAATTGATGATATTTAATATTAATATTGATTATAATAGAAGCTGATTCACATGATAACCTTTAACAACAGTTTTAAATAACCATATATATGGTACTTTATGTTCGAAGTCATATAAATAATATAACTACATATAAAATATACATTACTTATATTCTTAACTAGTTGACAGTAATAAATATGTGTTTAGTTACATATGTTTTTGTATAAAATTTTTCAGTCATCAAAGACTTATCGTGTCCTACTATATAAAGCTTTTCTCAGAAGACTTAATAATGTCAGTCTTCTCAGACGGTGAAACTACAGATTCGATGAATCGTGCTCTATCTAGTGATGGTAATCCTCGTTAGTGCTAACAGATTATAAGATTCTCTAATGCTCCGTAATAACATGGCTTGATACCATTAATAACTATGTCTCCATACACAATTTATATATATATGAATATATATACATGTGAACAATATATTGTTTGTGTTTGGAGAATTACGGTAGCTTCGTTAAGATAGCCGGCCACTCCATATGCCGCAATGCCGTAAAAATAAAACCCAGCACACCACTCCCCGTCCTAAAGACGATCGCCCTAATTCGTTTAGTTTTGATCCACTGCAGACCACCACTTGCCCGTCTGTTTATTGGGTCGATCGTGAAATCGCAATGTTAACAGAGCATAGTTTATTATCATAAAAACATCTCGCTTTTGGTTTATCTAGTATGGAATGCGGATATTATGTAAAACTCGATGTAAGCTGAGCTGAAAAGGCGTAATCACCGAATTTTTGTACGTCAATCAAGCAATTCTGGACGTCAGTGGTTCCTGTTATTAAAATGTCCTGGAAAGACTCCGGGGACTATTAACTGTCAGTCGGTCCCGCAATTTGTAAACACGTTCTTATTAATCACACGACGCGGTGGTCCTCTGTCTACATCTCGATTATTTCGACGATTCACTTTCACGTTATAAATTTTAATAAAATTTTATATAATCAAAGCTTCATTTATAATTTACTACTAATTGAATCCATTTTTGTTTATGTATTACTATGAATGTTAAGATTATTTTCATTTAATAAATACTTCAAGAAGTATGAATCTTCACAGTTGCTTTACCATCGAAGTGTAAGAAATAAATCTTTTAAATTTTTCAAAAGCAGTCTTAAACAACTGCATTCGAGATGACATCGACGTGTGCAAGGAATCCAGACGAGTACATTCTCTTTAATGCGATTGTGATAAATTGTGAAGGGAAACGAAATATTTTAGGTGAAATGACAACATCGTGTAGGTAGAGACATCATCGTCGACAGCTCTCTATATATTGGAGAACACTTTATAATGCTATAAAATCGTAAATATATTTTTTGAAAGTGTGAAATATAAAAGAACCGTTCAAAATCAGGGCGTAATTAACAGTAACGGGACGAAGTAACGCATTAATGTGTGAGAATATAAAATCCTTTACGACCTTATGTTCATATTAAACTCGATTTAGAATTACTTATTATATTATCAATTTATTTTATTATTTTCATAAATATTCTGAACTGCAAACGACTTTAAATTGCAGTTGGGTAATGTTTAATTATTTTATAAATATTTGAAACACGCTGGTATTTAACCATTTAAGGTAAACTACGCTCGGACAATTATAACCGTAAATGTACCTAATATAATTCAAGTATTTAGTTTCTTTAGTTGGCTGATTCGTATTACTGATGTGAAAATAATTGCTCCTATTACAATTTTGGTTATTCTGGGAAATTTTTATATTATCTAACCTACTCCCAATTACGTAAAGAAGATAAGAATTATTGTCTAATCCGCTCCTAATTATATGAAAAATTATAGAACATAAAAATTTGCTCTTTATAAATTCAGATATATTCAATATAAAGGATTTTCATAATATGTTTTGGTTTAAAACAATATAAAAAATATCCTAATCATTCAGTGATCAAAATGAAATCAGTACAAAAACGTGTTGCAAATAAACATATGAATTAATGTTTGTACAAAACTAACAAGAACGATTGGCCTCGCTGTTCCGGGTCATTTGATCTGTTTATAATCTAAACTCGTGTGTGACTTAATTAGAATTTAACTGTTACATAAATAATAACTGGATTAATTTTACAACATTTAAGTTTCTATATAATACTCTTTTATAAACGGGATTGACATATGAACTTATAAGTTAAATGAAACGGAAAATTTAGGAAGTATGTTAATAATAATTGTTATACATACCAAATTAGCTCATAAAGAAAATATATACCTACAGATTGAATTAAATCGATTACCAGCAAGCACAAGCGAAAGTTATCGTAAAATAAACTTAATATTATAATGACTGTAATTTGATCTACAACATCTATTAATTACAAATATTATTGTAATATTAATAATAAGTGCTTATTAACGTATATTCATATTGAATGTAAAGGGACGGTCGACATCAAGGAGAGTGGAATGCCAGAGATTTCTTTGAGTAAAATGACAGAAATAAATACTGCCCGACCCGATCCTATGAATTTATCTTAGGAAATACGTCTGGCATTTGTTGGCCCCACTCTTTATTAGTACTGCTCTTTATCTGTTCAAAAGATATAATTATTATTAATGCTGCATCTAGACATCTCGTTACTCAGACGACCTCAGCGGTCAAGAAAAAAAAACAAATATAAAAGGTTATCATTTAAACTCAATAAGTGGACACAGCTTCAATATTTGATGAAATTTATCATGTTATACCTAAAAATCGTTTATTATTTTTGTAATCGGAATGTATTATAAAATTGCTTGTAAATTATATCGTTTAAAAATATAAACTATGTCAGTGAAGTAGGAATACGTCAAAACAAAGTAAAAATAATTTATAGAAAGGTAGCGGCTTTCAAAGCTCTTAGCATTTATGACATGTACATTGTAACTTTAAGAGGTGCTAATAAGTAGCAGAACTGTTGGTAATATCTGTCCAGAAGTCAACGCGATCTCGGGTCAAACGTTTGAACGTCCGCTGTGGCCGAGTTAACGGGGCTAAGTAAAGTTTTCACATATTATATTTACTTTGCAAAGCAAACAAAGCAGCGACTCTCAGAAGCGGCTCAACCAATATTACGTATAAATTACTTTTGTGTGTAATACAGATAAGTTTAATGAAAAAAATCAAAGATGCATTGACTGTTAAAAAATAACCGTAATAAGCTTACGTAATGAACTTATGAAACAAAAATCAACTTCTAGTAATCAAGTAATGAAATTTTAATTGTATATACTACAGCGTAAAATCAATCTCAAAATATTATCAATCTTAAAACAAGCTCTTCCTACGTAGGTTT